TGTGGCGTCTCCTCATTGTTACGTGTTGACGATTTGTAAAAGCCCTGCGCAGGCCACGCCGAGCGTGTCTGGGTTGTGCTGGACCTAACACAGAGGCTGCCAACACTGATCGCTGCCAGGGGGTACACAGTGTATGTTCACCAATGATGCGCTGAGGTAAAGGAGCAGTCCTCCCGGCTGACTTCTCAGAGCTGAGAAGCAGTTGACAAGCAGTACAAGTCCCCTCCGTAGGGAGGGTGGAGAGCGAACAGCAGGCAGTGCCTCCATGCCCCTGGAAGCTTTAAGATGAGTCTGCTCAGGGGCGCGGATGCAGCCTGCAGGAGGTTTCAGGAAGCTCAGATTTCATCCCCCTTGGTCTGGGGCTGCTATGGGCCAGTAGGCATGGGTATGGCCACGCCTGTTTTTGATAGTCCACAGCCATTCCGATGGTCCATGCCACCGTGCACTGGTTATTAAATAATCAATTTTTTAAAAAAAATATTTTATTGATTTTTTACAGAGAGGAAGGGAGAGGGATAGAGAGTCAGAAACATCGATGAGAGAGAAACATCGATCAGCTGCCTCCTGCACACTCCCCACTGGGGATGTGCCCGCAACCAAGGTCCATGCCCTTGACCGGAATCAAAACCTGGAACCCTTGAGTCCGCAGGCTGACGCTCTAGCCACTGAGTCAAACCAGTTAGGGGTATTAATCTTAATACCAACCCCACACAGGTGCGAAAATGGCAAGCTATCATCGTCACAGGCCGTTACCACCGAGGAAGGCTCTCGGAGGTGAGCGATGAAGCAGGTTGTCACAGGCGACCTAGGTCACTTAGGGGTGGGATCCCATCCAGGTTCCGTAGAGGGCGGGCTGATTCCCTCCCTGTAAAGATCTTAGGAGCCGGATCTGTTTTCCCATCAGAGCGACTTCGAGGTCCTCACACCCACCTTCCATGCCTGGCCTAAGCGATTCCAGAGCTTCTAGAGATGAAGGTAATGAGCCAGATTGTGTGTGTGTGTGTGTGTGTGGGGTGACCCTGGGGAAGGCAGTGGCAGAAATTGGTGATGGCTCTGGGAGGCCGCACTAATTAATTCACTTATTCTAATGGGTGAAGCAAGCCCCCTTGGGCTTCCCTAGCCGCCGGCTCGCTCACGTCTGGCTCTGCCCATTTGCATTGTAAGCAGGAAGTTCGCCGTCTGTTCCAACGCGGAATAGATGTTAGCAGCACTTTATTGGATCAGCTCAAGGTGATTTAGATCGGTTCTTGGAACACATTCAGCCTCGGAGACCACGCCAGTGTGGCGCTTGGCTCGCTGGGTAGATGGGATGACACATCCATCTGTGCCAACCAACCCAAGCGTGGCATCCAACGTGACGGATGCATCTGGGGAGGTGTGCAAGCTTATGCCCTAGAATTTCGGACTCGGGCTTCCCCTGATATTTCCCGGAGAAAAACTTCCCGACATTTATTTGGTTTACAGTCTTTTATTTCAGTCTTAGGATCTTTTTGCCGCCCAAACAGAAGGCCAACAGGTCAGGCTGATAAAGAGGTAGCTGCTCAGAGGGAAGCCCCTTTCTCTTGTCAAACCTCGAAGCTGGGGCACAGTTGAAACAGATGTTCCTTCTCAGATGGATGTAGTTCCCTTCTATTCCTCCATTGCTGGGAGTTTTTAATCATGGGTGGATGTTGGATTTTGTCCAATGCTTTTCTCTGCATCTTTTGAGATGATTGTGTAGCTTCTGTCCTTTAACTTGTTAATGCGATGCGTTCTATCAAGAGAGTTTCTGGAGTTAAACAATTCTTCATTCTTGAAAAATAATTTTAATGTAATTTTAAATTGTATTTTTAAATCCTTTTTTAATATCACTAATAATACACTCATATTTCCTTCCTGAAAGTTAAAGTATTTCCATGTGTGTGCAAATGCATAGCATTTTCCTGGGCAGATGCATAAGAAGTTGTTTATAAGGATTGTCTCTAGGGAAGGGAACCAGTGGTTAAAGGATGGGGGAGAGAAGTGATCCTAGTAACTCATTTGTCCTTTCTGGGTTGTGTTCTAGGAGCATTTAAATCTTTTTGAAAATATTAAGTCAAGTGAAAACGTTATAGGATATGCTAAAGTTCCTCTTATCCGCTGTGACCAGTTCTCATTACTTCTTAACCTCTCCTGAAGTTACAGCCCAGGAGATGTGTGTCCAGAGGGATATTCCTTGCATTTGCAAACCTTGTAATATATTTATATACAGATAGGTATATAGCCACAGAAGCTACAGAGTTATGGATTGTGTTGTGTGTCACATAGATGAAATAATACTGCAAGAATAATTCTGCTTTTTTCTTCTATTATTTGGTTGGGAGCTTTGTCCATATTTTTACATATACCTCTAGCTCCTCCTTTTTAATTGTGGGCGAGCTGCCCAGTATTACATAATATGAAAACGTAACTATTCCTTTACCCCAGAATTTCTCTAGGGTAGATTTAGGGTAGTGAAATTGGTGGTCCTCGGGGTATACACGTTTGTTGTTGTTATAACCAATACTACCAAATTGCTCTATGGGTTCTTAAATGCACCAATCAAGCATTTTCTCAAGGGTCTTCACCTTTGCCTGCTGACTTGCTGTGACTTTGATTGAGCAATGCAGGCTTTCTCTCTGGACCCCCTGTGACTCGATCTGGAGGAGGAAGAAACTGGGGCCCCATGAGCCTGTGGGATGGCGTAATGATAGCTCGTGCAGCCTCAGAGTGGGTCGGGAGCGGCTGCCCTAGGGGAGACAGGGAAGAGGGGGAGGACGCGGGTGGCAGCTGAGCCGCAGGCAGACAATTCAGATGCATTTGGCCCTTATCTCAGACCCTCCATTAGTGCAGTGATAATTTATCCGGAGCTCTCACCCCGTAGCCCCCTCTGGAATGCCCAGATTCCCTTGTCTAGGGGAACTCACTTCTGAGCGTCTCTCAGAGGAAGAAATGACAAGCAAGGTTAGCAATATGTGCGTATGGTAATGTTACCTTTGAACAAATGAATACTCATAAAAAGTACAGAGCAATATCATTGCACTGGTCAAAGGTAATGACAGGATTTATAGATGACATTAATTCATAACGTGGTACAGGTGGGGTGGTCCAGGAATGGAACACACAGTTAGAAGTACATGGAGAATATTTTCCTTTTTTTTGTCCCCATCAGTGTGATGCTGTGACTGAATGTTTAAGCACCTTTCAGAATGTGAGATGGGCAGAATGCCTGCCACCTTCTCCACCCTACCCAGGCTCAACCCCTGAGGCTGAGACAGTTTGTTTAAATGTTTCTAAATCCAATGCCTGTTGATCGTCCACATTTTGAGCAAATCTGGGTGCATTTTACGATTTCCCGACGTATTGTAGGCATTCTGGCTTATTTCTGCAGAATAAAAGGGGGAAACAAAGTCCTTCGGGCTGTGGGTTGAGAAAAGGGATGAAGTCGTGGGACAAGTAGACTCTGGATCACAGATGTGGATTCTGAGCTGCAATAGAGGTGAGTTCTGGGGCGGGGACCAGGTAGATGCTGGGACATGACAGAGGTGGGTTCTGGGTGAGAAGTGGATTCTGGGAGACCATAGAGGTGGGTTCTGGGTCATGGTAAAAGTGGGTGAGGTGGTTCCGGGACTTGGTAGAGGAGGGTCTTAGATCAGGGACCAGGTGGGTTCTGGGACAGCGGGGACGGGGTGGATTCTGGACAGGGAGGGGGTGCGTTCTGGGAAAGCAACCAGTGGATTGTGGGATGGGAACAGATGGGGAGTGGGCCGGCTGTCCCACTCTGTGCTACCAGAACCTGCCCACGCATAGCACTGCTGGAGCCCTTAATCCCATAGGCTTTAGCTCAAACATCAGGACCTAAGAGAGACCTCCCTGTGGCCTCCACGCCCTCATGAGCCCCTCCCCCCCTTCACTCTCCTGCTCAGTGCTTTCTCTTCCTCCCACTCTGCCCAGCTTGTGATCGCAGGTGTACTGTACAAGTAGCCGTTAACCGGTTAAAAATGCGGATTTTTGTAATCAAAGAAAACAAAGATAATTTCAAGAGAAACATCAAAAGTGCTTTATTCAAAGTAATGTCCATCGCTAGCTACACATTTCCCCCATCTTTCGGGTAATTTGTGGATACCGTCTCAATAGAACTTTTCTTGTTTTAAGGCAGACCATTCAGAGACCCGATTTTCCACTTCTTCGTACGTTCTGAAGTGCTGCTCAGAAAGCGCGGGTGCCATCGATCGGAACAAGTGGTCACCTGAAGGAGCAAGACAACAAAACCGCATACACATCAAATCGCATCTACATCAACATGTGTGACTCCAGCTATTGAAAAAATCCGCATTATTAGCCGGTACACCTAGTATACGTATGATTACTTGGGCATCGAATCCTGGTTGCACTGTGACTCTCTGCCCGCTGGGGCCTTGTCTGAACCGCTCACCACAGGTAGCACAGGCCAGGCACAAGGAGGATGCTCCGTCATTACTATTTGTATTGAATGAATGAGTTTTCCGTGAGACCAAGGACCCTGATTTGAACTTTCATTCCAAGTGCCCGAGAGGCCTTCTAAGTGCAGGTTGAATCCATCGGTAAAGGAAGAAGGATGTTAGGGCGGGAGGAAGCGAGAGGAAAGAAGAGGGCGAGAAAGTGAACGAGAAGGAAAGGAGGAAGTGGAGGAAGAAGAGACTCAGAGAGCCAGAGAGAGGGGCGGAGGAGAGGAAGAGAGGGAGGAGGGGGCGCAGAGGGGCCGAGGAGCGAGGACCGAATGAATGAAGGCGCGCAGCTGAACGAGCGGGCGGTGCGTCTTGCTGCCCAGGATCCCGGCCGCTCCCAAAAAGCCACCTGAGCGGGCGGCGCGATTCGGCCCTCGGGTCACCACGCGCACCACCAGCGAGGATCCGCGCTGGGGTCCGGGTCCCAGCCCGCGAGCGCCCCGCCCCGCCGGCCCCGCCCCGCCCCGGCGCGCGCGGCATTGTGGGAGTTGTAGTCCTTCCGGCCCCGCGGAGCGCAGCGCGGCGTCGGCACCGGCGAGGCTCCAGCGCGTCTCCCGCTGGCGTCCCGCGGCGTGGGCCGGGCAGCGGCCGGGCAGCAGCTCCGCGGCGCGGGCAGGGGATGTCCGCGCGTCCGCGCCCTCGGGCGGCGGAGTCGCCCCGGCCCCAGCGGTCGCCCCCGCCGCCCGCGCTCCCGGCGCAGGTAAGCGGGTCTCTGGGGGCTGCGGGGCGGGAGGGCGGCGCGGCTGGGCCGACCCCGCTGCCGGGGAGGAGGTGGGGGCCGGGCGGCTGCAGGCCCGCGGTCCCCACGCCCGGCGACGCGGCCGCTGAGGATGCTCTGAGACGCCGGCGCCTGCCTGCGCCCCACATCCCGGCCCGGCGAGGGGCCCCAGCTGCCCGGCGCTCGCTACGTGCTGAGCGCCGCCGCCTCGTCTGTGTTCGCGGCCCGGGTCGGGCGTCACCCTCCTCCTACCCCCTGTCCCATCGCGGTCTCCTACTTCGTGTAATACCCTTCCCTCCACCCCCCATCGCCTCCTCCCGGTGACCCTCCTCCTGGATCCCCTTCCTTGCCTGCTCTCCCCTCCCCCCCAGCCCTGAGCTTCACCCACTTCCCATATTTCCCGTGGTAACCCTCTCCCCTGCCCCCGGGTGATCCACACATGCTTCATTCCCTACTCATTAGCGGATTGCCTACTTTTCCTGTCAGTAATCACCTTTCTCTTGTCCCATCCCCCTCCTCCCTAACCTCCTGGTGGTCACCATCTGTATTAACCCAACCTTTGCCCGCCCCTTCCCCCCTCACTCTCCAGAGTGGATGCTGACACAGCTGGCCAAGAGAGCGAGGAGGAAAGGTCTCTGGTCCCCACCGGGGAGGGCTGGCCCCAGAGCAGCTCCTGGCTCCTGGGTGGAGGGGCGGCAGGCATTGCTCATCTTACCTCCCCCCACCCCCGCCTGCTCCCTGGGGGACTTCTGGGGTGACCTGGCATCACCCTAAAAATGACCAGAAGCTTTTTAGCCTTGGGCAGCCCCTGGACTGGTAATGTGAACTGAATTAACCAGGTCAGAGCTATAGGCCTGCTTCCCCCACCCCCCAGTGAGGAGGTGTTCATTGTATCAGAAGTTATACTGATTGGACTTGCTCACCAATTGGCCATGAATTTGGACTTGATTCCCCCAAGCAGACTGACCTTTAAGATCTGGAGTTGCATATGATTAAAGTGCAGAACTGCGATGAGGTGTCCCAATCCCTAATGAGGACAGAAATGAAACATGAACAGATGTGTGAAGGAAGCCGGAAGTTGCTGTGGTCACTGACACTGGGGGTGGGGGTGGGGGAGGGGGAATCCATGGTCGATGGGGGTTTGTCACTGGGTGCAATAGGGTCCAATGTTTGCACCGGTATTTAATCCACTGCCAGTCACCCTGCAAGTGTAAGGGCGACCTTTAGTGTCATATTTCAGCTGTGAGCTTGTTAGCCCACCTCCGGGCCCAGGGGCCCGCCTGCGTTTTCTGGCTACAAGTAACCGATAGGTCTGAAAAGTCCTAACTTCAGCTCTCAGTGCTGTTTATGATCTTGTGAGCAGGGTCCGAGCCTGGAGCTCAGGGGATCGGGATCTTTTGTTGCCTTTTGTCTATAGCTCAGTCTAGGGAGTGACCGGGGCTGTCCTTGTAGAGAATGACGCTTCCTGGAGGAGGGGGTAAGCTGGAGTGGGGGAGGGGGGGGGGTCAGGGTAGCGATTCCTTCATCCTCTACCCTGCCCTCCAGACCTTCATGTTGACTGACTTAAACTCTAGTGCTTAGCAGGGCTGATGGGAACTAACACTTCACAGGTGTTTGTCAAATTATCAGCCTCTCACTCTGAGACCATTTCAGGAAACCTCTTCCCCGAGAGAGGGTGTTTACAAGCTCCAGTTCGGAGTTGAGCTCAGTGATGGGGGAAATCCCTTTTAGTCCGAGTTGCTTGTCGCTACGCAGGTGATGGTTTCACACCTGTGGCGAGAGGGCTTGCAAACAACACACCTTTCATTCAAATTTTCTTTCCCATCTCGAGAGGAAACAGCTGCCAGTCACGGGAGGACGGAGAGAGAACCGGGGGCACATAGGGGTCTCTTTCCATCCAGGGGGGCCTAGCCTTGCCCTCTCCTCCCAAGTCTGTGATGAAATCAAGAACATGTGAGAGAAAAAAAAATTAGCATCTAACCTCCCCAACTCTTGTATTTTTCCTAGAAACATAAAAACCATGCATGAATATTCAGCACGTGTGCTTTGGACTTACTGAACACAATAGTCAAGTGGCTCCTTGTTCGGCCTAAGCTGGGAAGATGCAAAGAGGCAGTTAATGATCACCTAAGGTTTCCCTTTCGTTTTTGGCTTTGCAAGTCTGGGGACCAAAAAAAAAAAAACCGCAAAGGAAACAAACAAACCACCACTTGAGATGTGTGGCCACAAGAGCGTCCAGAATCTACCTGCAGCTGCTGGAATGCTCTGTCCTGAGTCATCTTTCTCTGAGGCCCCACCTTTGGTTTTGCTGGCTCAGCAAGGTGTGGCTGCCACATGTCACAGCAGTCTCCAGCGCACATGCTGAATGCTGACCATGACATGATCGTACATGCTCGACATCCGTCATTCATCCTCATTCAGTGAGAAGAGCATTACCCGTCTTACAGATGAGGAAACTGAGACTTAGAGAGGGGAAGTGACCTGTCCGGGGCTGGGAGTGCTGCTCGGTCTAGCCCATCTCCAGGTTGGGTTCTTAATCTCTGCCCCATCGCAAGAACTTTCGGGCCACATTTGGTCCTGAAAGTGGAGGGTCCAGCTCTCCCACTTTTTTCGTTACTCTCTCGTCTTCCTGAGAGAGGAGAGGGAGGGCGGAGCGCAGAACGAATTGTTTTGCTGCTGGAGATGAGGGGATGCAGTAGCACATAGACCTGGCGGTTCTCATCGGGTTAGAAAAAGCAGGTGGATGGCGGGTTTCAGCTGGGGAACATGGTGGGGGCTTTATAGACATGGCAACGTGACCCCTGTGCCCTGACCATGCCTTTAGGTTATAAGGATAATCGGGGTGCTGGGCAGTGACCCCGAGCATCAGTAAAACACGTGGGAAAGTATCTGTGTGTTTGGAGACAGACCTGAAAGGGCTTTTACTTCCATTCTGTCTCGTCGTGTCACTTTCATAACCTCACGGGTGAGGCCAGTAAGGAGTCTCCCAAGTGAGTAGTTGAAATGCCCAGTGTCTGCCATGGGAATGCAGGGAGCCCACTTCCTTTTCCAGTTTGATTTAAGCTCAACCCATGTCAGAAGGGCAAGAGAGATTAAATAAGAATGATGTAGGGCTATGAAAACAGTGAAATGGAAAATATGCCATCTTAAAGTGCCTTTGCCATTTTTAAAATGCTTTGTGAACCCACATCTACTTAAAAGGACAGAGAGTGAAGGGGATTAAGCATTTATTAAATGGCTACTATGAAAGTATAGCAAAATGGGTAGTTACCACTTTGAAGTCATATGGGATTTGTGTCCCCACTGTGGCTGCAGGAACTTCGGGGAGTTATAGGGTCTCTGAGCCTCAGTGTTCTCATCTGTGAAATGGGAACTCTGGTACCTCCTCAGGATGCTGTGAAATATATGGGACTACTGTCATGGTCAAACAGTGCTCGATGCAGGTGAAACACCGCTGGTCCTTTGGGAAAAGGGGGTGGTGGTGAAGTGGAGAGAGAATACACAAGACTGAGAAGCGTGTCCCCTACCAACAAGGGCCTTATGAAATGATCTGGGACTTTACATTTCACGTGAGGATTTTTCCCGGTATAAAAATTTATGCTGTTTTTTTATTTTATTTTTTTCATCCAGGTTTGGACTTAAAAAAAAAAAACGGTTTCATAGTGACCAACACCACTCGCTAATGTGACATAAAGCAGCTCCTGCCACTCTGCCCAGTCCCTTTTGCCTGGAGTGGGGTGGTGGGCACAGGCGGCCTCGCCTGTCAATGCCACCCTGAGCAGGATCCGAGGAACAGGGGCAGCCATGCCTCCCCCTGCCCCCGCTGCCCCGCGCTAACCTGCCAAGTGTGGGTGCCCTTGGGGACTGACTGACTGACCTTGCTTCACACCCACGACAACAACTCCCCCAAGATGTCGCTCGAGTGGCTGGTGGCCTGGAGCTGGTCGCTGGATGGCCTCCGGGACTGCATCGCCACGGGCATCCAGTCCGTGCGGGACTGGGACACCGCCGCCGTGGCCACCGTGGCCTGCCTGCTGGTCCTGTTCGTGTGGTACTGCTACCACGTGGGCCGGGAGCAGCCCCGGCCCTACGCCTCCGTCAACTCCCTCATGCAGGGCGCCGACGCCAACGGGCTGCAGAACGGGTACGTGTACTGCCAGTCCCCCGAGTGCGTGCGCTGCACCCACAACGAGGGCCTCAACCAGAAACTCTACCACAACCTGCAGGAGTACGCCAAGCGCTACTCCTGGTCGGGCATGGGCCGCATCCACAAGGGCATCCGCGAGCAGGGCCGCTACCTCAACAGCCGGCCCTCCATCCAGAAGCCCGAGGTCTTCTTCCTGCCCGACCTCCCCACCACGCCCTACTTCTCCCGGGACGCCCAGAGGCACGACGTGGAGCTGCTGGAGCGGAGCTTCCCCACCATCCTGGGCGAGTTCGAGGCCCTGTACAAGGGCTTCTCCAACTGCAGCCTCCCGCAGGGCTGGAAAATGAACAGCACCCCCAGCGGGGAGTGGGTCACCTTCTACTTGGTCAACCAGGGGGTGTGCGTTCCCAGGAACTGCAGGAAGTGCCCACGGACGTACCGCTTGCTCGGCAGCCTTCGGACCTGCATTGGGAACAATGTTTTTGGGAACGCGTGCATCTCCGTGCTGAGCCCCGGGACTGTGATCACGGAGCACTACGGACCCACCAACATCCGCATCCGATGCCACTTAGGTATGTTGTGGGGCCGGGGTCCCGGCACACACCCCTTCTCAGTAGCGTCGGGCCTGACTTCCGGGGGGAATCCAGACACCCCGAAAGCTCAGTAGCCACAATTCCTGCTCTTTTCACATCTTTTGTTGTTGTGTTTCTCTCACAAATTGATGAGCCACCTGTAAACAGTTTGACATCAAAGATTGGGTCAAAACAATGATCAGTGTGAACCTGATATTCACAGAAGCTCTGTCCAAAGGGAGCTTTCTGTGCTGACGGGCCTGGTCTCCGTGCGCACTGTCTGATACGGTAGCCACTGGCCCACGTGACCGCTGGGTGCTTGAGATGTGATTAGTGCCACTGAGGGGCTCAGTTTTTAACTTAATTGGAATTAAAATTTAAATAGCAGCACATGGCTAGTGCCTGTTGAGCAGTGGCCCTGCAGAGCCAGGGATAGTTACAGTGATCGCTGCGGTCCATGATGATGCGGGGGCTGTGAGAGATGCCGCGTGCCTTCTGATACTCGGAGATAAACCGATGCTCCGTGGTGATGCTACCCAGATTCCAGGGAAGTGGGCAAGGCGTGCACTGTGTGCAGCTGTGGTTTTGAGAGCAGGGCTGGAGCCAGATTGCCTGTGTTTGCATCCTGGCCCCACCTCGAGCTGGCTGTGTTACTTTGGGCAAGTCGCTTCACCTCTCTGAGCCTTGGTTTCCTCATTTGGAAGATCACCTTTTACAGAATTACGCTGAGGCTCTGGGAGGAGATTGTGTGTTGTGAAGCATTTGTTCACGCAGAGCATGATAGAGAGGGAGTACTTGCTAAAAGTAGGCTTGGAAACAGCTTGGTAAATGGGGTATTAGTTCCCCAGAATGCCTCATTTGTTCCTGGTGAGTCATGATAATGGCTTGGTTACCGGGGCGATGGCACCTCGGGTTAGCATCCCAGACTGGAGGAGTGTGTGGGGCCAGGCCCAGCTCTGGGGAGTTTGCAGCGCTGCCTGGGCATCCGGATGGAGGGAGGAGAAACACATAAGCCCGATGTGGCCAGAGCAGGGTTCATAATTATTCCCACAGAGGAACTTCGGGCTGCACTGGGGGGGGGGCCCACACGCCCATGCCCTCCACCCCCCCTTCACGCACCCAGAGCCCTCTGCTTCTGTTCTCTCTGGATTATGAATAAAGTGTGGCTTCAACAGAGGGCTTCACTGCTTTGAAAAGCAAAAGGGTATGAGATTCGAGCAGTTGACACCTCGAGTATTTCAAGAGGACAGGCAGAGCAGGGTCGAGGTGGCCTGACTTCGTGGTCAGCTGTGTCACTTTGGGCAAGTAACTGGGTCTCTGTGCCTCAGTTTCCTCATCTGTGAAATGGGGAGATGGTACTTATCTCACAGGACCATTAGAGGGTCACATCAAGTAACATCTCCTATGGCTGCTTGACACAGTGCCTGGCACGTGACAGCATTGGCTAAGCAGTTGCTGGTACCTCTGAGGACCTGACACCAGGTGGGACCATGTGATAAGGAACCCAGGAGACACGGTCTCTGCCCTCAGGAACCATGGGGAATGAGCAGACTGTGCTCCTGGGCCCTGATTGGTCCGCCCTATGTGCTGAGTGACCTTGGAGCCGCCGTGCTCTCCTCTCTCGAATGGAGGTAGTGATCCCCGCCTGACGGCTGGTGGAGGCCTGGGGGTGCTGTGTGTGTGTGAAGTGCTTGGCAGGTTGAGAGCGGTCAGGTCAAGGGGCTATGATTAACCTAAGAGCGGAGGTGGTCATCCTAGCGACGGATCATGATCAGTGAAATCACTGTGAGAGGCACCAGGGTGCTCCCTGAGGTCAGAGGATGGGAGGGCTGCAGGTGGGCTGGCCTGGAAGGGCGCAGCTGGGGAGGAGGCTTCCCTTGGGGGTTGGGGGAGCCGTGTCTGGCTTGCTGGGGCGACCAGTGATGGAGGCCGAGGTTGGAGAGGTCGGGTGGGAGCAAACCACAGAGCCTCCCCCTGCTCCCCCGTCAGGCTTGGTCTTAAGGCTGTGGGCCATGGGGAACAACGATGATGTTTTAAAAGGCTTCCTTTTATGTTTTCTAAAAACTTCCAAATGATGCAGGGAAGGGCGTTTGAGGACAGATGGGGTGGGACTCCAGGCAGGTGTGCTGAGTAGGAAGGGCTGGTGGCGAGGAACAAAGATTTGCCTCCTGTGTATTAATGCCTGTTGTGCATCTATGCAGTTTAAGTGTGTGTGTGTGTGTAAATCACACCCACACAGGTCCCTTGATGACCTGTCCTCCCCTCCTTGGCCTGCTGGGTACTGGCCACCAGAGAAAGTGGGCCACGTCATGCTCCCGGGGCAACAGGAAACCTTGGAAGGCGTCCCATTGGAGTGTGGCTAGTCCCCGAGGCCAGGCGAGCTCCGTGGTTGGCTCTGCTCACCGTTTCCTTCTTTCCACGGTCATGCCCACATTCGTATGCACCCAGGAAGGAAAGAAGGGTGTGTTTGATTCACGTGACCTTGAGTGTTGACAGAGAGGGAGGCCAGAGAAGGAGGTCGGAAACAGGGCCAGCAGGATAGGTGTCTGGTGGCCACACCTCTGCCAGTTACCTGGCTGTAGGTGGCGGAGGTACTGTGGTTTCTGGAATGCCAAGCCTTGTCGTCCGCTTCTGCCTGCCATCTGCGTTGTGACTGGTGGTACTGTCTGTCCAGCCATTGCTCCTCATGTGCCCAGTCATTTGCTGAGCCCTGTCCTGCGCTACCTCCAGAGGTGGTGTCACTCAGCTTTGATTCCGTGCAGACCCAGGGACAGCTCCCACCTGGCCACCACCTGGCACTGTGTGGGGGGCTGGGATGTCCTGCCGGCACTGCCACAAACCTCTAGGAAGCAACCTCTGACGATTATCAGGCAGGTGGCACCGGGGAGGCAGGCGCCCATCCAAAGGGCTAACCCTCGGGAAAGGGTAGATAAAAATGCATATTCAGCAAATTCTCACTAAATAAGCACAATTCCACTCTCAATTTTCTTTCGTGCGTATGCTGTCAGGTTTCTGGGCCACCCACCTGCGTGGTACCAGCAGATCAGCTTGTGTTTGCCTTGCCCACCCTCAGTGTCAGCCGCCGGCCTCCTGAAGTGGGGCCACTGGTGGGCAGAGCCTTTCTCCACCTTCTCCTGCCTCCGTCAGTGGTTGGTGGGGAAGGCAGCAAACCCTAAGCCAGAGAGAGGCCTGGGCATGTGGGACTGGCCCAGGCCATGTGCGGGGCCTGTCTCTAACCCAGGAGCCACCTGGATTCTCATTTGGGGGGTTAATGATTACTTCTGCCAACTAAACTGGTTTGTGAGCAAGAGGCAGGAATGGTGGGTCACTGGACTGGAGCAGAGTGCGGGGGGAGGCAGGGGAGAGAAGCAGGGGGCTGATAAGCCAGCAAGACACACCGTTTTTCTGTTGTGCTGTGGCTCATGGCAGTCAGTCCTTTAGTGTCTCGGAGAAAGGGGAGCTTCTCTCTGAAACCCTGGGGTGGACTGTCCTAAAGGCCTGCTCCACCTGCACCAGCCAGTGCGGTCATGCATGAAGGGGACGTGGCCCGTGGGGCTCTCTTCATTTGCGCCAGCGGCTGCACCCCTAACCCCCAGCAGTTGTTAACAGTAGCGGGAGGTCGTGGTTTCAGAGTCAGAATGGACAGTCTCAGCTGGTGCAATGAAATGTGCTATTGATGGTTGAACTTACCATTAACTGCAGGAAAATCAGCAACCACTTAACTGCCACTGCTACTAATGTAATAGCCAGTGTTTACATCATGCTGGCCAGTGTTGTAAGAGCCTGTTCTCGGAGCCAGACAGTTTGGATTCAAATCTCAGCTCCTGCCAGGACTAAACAGTGACCTCCAGCAGGTCCCTTAACTTCTCTGTATCCGGTTGCTCCGTCTGGGAAGTAGGCGAAGTGAGGTCTGTAAAGTGTTTATTTAACACAAGCCTGCGCACAGTCTTCAGATATTAGTAGCAAGGACAGTGGTCGAGTAGCACTGGCAGGTAAGTATGCTCATGCCCCCTCTTTACAGACAAGGAGGCTATGGCTCAGAGAGATCGAGTGCTTGCCCAGGGTCACACAGCAGATGCGAGTGAGAGTCAGTGATCTGATCCCAGGGCCTCTGTCCTTCCCACGGCTCCGCGCGGCCGCCGTTAGAATTCTTACTGCATTCATGCTTCCCGGAACCATCCATTTTTGGCTCCGAGAGTGCATTAAAATACCCCGCCTGTGAGAGAAAAGGCTGTCTCATTTTGTCATAAGGGACACTGCCGACTGGCCCAGGGGCGTGCTTGTCACAGTGAGTCACTGAGGACCGATGAGAGCATCACTGTCCCAGCCCCTCCTCCAGGGCCGTGTTTTCCCAGACCTTTGGCTTGGCGAGGGGACGTGAACACGCATGCGCGGCAGCACTTCCGGCAGACCCTCTCCTGGGCTGGGCACCGAACGTGGGCCTCGCCACTGGCGCTTTAAGCATATGGCTCCGCAGCAGGTGTCGCTCCACATCCTCCTGAAGCTCAGGCGTTTTCTTGCGGGTGTCCTCCGGTTTCCCCGAACGGAGCCAAGGGAACCCCGATTAACATGCCATCCTCGGGCCTCAAAATGGATGGAAGGGTTGGAACCCAAAGAGGAGGGCACCGTGTGAGCCTTTGCGTCTTCGGTCTCACCGAGAGCAGCCCTAGAGGCGGGACTGTAGGAAACACGATTATTGACAGGCAGGGTTCTGAACCTGCTCCCGCAGTTTCCGGTGGTGCCGCGGTTGGTCTTCCGGAGTCTTCAACGTGTACGGCAAGCTCGGTTCCCGGCTTTAGCGGAGGCGCCCAGGACCCAGAGCAGGTTAAGCCAATGGAGGATTTAGTTTTTCCAAGGGGTACGGAGAGGATCCAGGTGCTTACTCCGCATTTGCCCTATTGAACTACCCCCCTCCCCATATAGAGACCCCGAGGGGTGAGGATAAAGATTGGAAATCGAGAGCTGCCCGCCCCCAAACTTCCGGCCACCCCTGACTTCCGGCCCCACGACTTCCGGTCACATCTGACTTCCGGCCACCCAGACTTCTGGCGGTGCCTGATCTCGCCTGCCTTCACTCTCTGCTCTACCTTTTCTTCCGAGGTCTGAAAACTCCAAGTGGCTGTGAGCTGGTGGTGGGGGGCGAGCCGCAGTGTTGGGCCGAAGGCCGCTGCCTTCTCTTTGACGACTCTTTCCTGCACACCGCATTCCATGAAGGTGAGTGCCTGTCTTCCCTATTGCCGCTCGTTTATTTATTTACTTTACTAAATTGATTGGGGTGGCATTGGTCAACATGAACATAGAGGTTTCCTGTGTGGATCTTTATGTTACCAGATCTGTCTATTGCACCGTGCCCACTGCCCAAAGTCAGATCTTCTGTCACTTCCTGTTAGGAACCCCTTCCTTCTGGCAGCCACCCCTCTGCTGTTTGTGTTCATAAGTTTCAGTTTGATATCCCACAGTGAAATCATACGGTGCTTAGCTTTTTCTGACTTAGTTCACTTTGCATAATGCTCTCAAGGTCCATCCATGTTGTTGCAAATGGCGCTCTTTCATCCTTTCTTGTGGCTGAGTGTGTATGTACTGCATCTTCTTCATCCACCCTCTGTTGCAGGACACTTCGGTTGTTTCCATGTCTTGGCCACCGTGAATAATTTTGCAATGAACATAAGGGCGCATAATCTTTGCGAATACATGACTTCGAGTTTTTTGTGTATATACCCAGGAGTGGGGTTGCTGGGTCATATGGTAGCTCTATTCTTAATTTTTTGAGAAATCACCAGAACTGCTTCCACAGTGGTTGTACCAGTCTACATTCCCACCAGCAGTGAGTGAGGGTTCCCTTTTCTCCACAACCTCTCCACCACTTGTTGTTGCTTGTCTTGTTGATAATGGCCACTCGGACAGGTGTAAGATGATCTCATGGTAGTTTTGATTTGCATTTCCCTAATTGCCAGGGAAGCTGGACATCTTTTCATATATCCTGGGAGAGGTGTATTTTCAGGTCCTTTGCCCACTTTTTTTTCGATTGTTTGGTGTTGAGTTTTATGAGTTCTTTATATATTTTGGAAATTAAACCTTTGTCGTAGCAGCTGTGTGCAAATATCATCTCTCATCTGGTTGGCTGCGTGTTTGTTCTGTTGTCAGTTTCCTTTGCTGTGCAGAAGCTTTTTAGTTTGATACAGTTCCACTCATTATTTTTGCCTTTACCTCCCGTGCGTTTAGGGTCAAGTCCATAAAATGTCCTCTACGGCCCAGGTCCATAAGTTTGGTACCTATCATATATTTTATGCTATGTCACTTACAGTTTTGGGTCTTATGTGTAGGCCTTTGATCCATTTTGAGTTAATTTATGTACATGGGGACAAACTGTAATCCAGTTTCATTTATTTGCATGTGGCTTTCCAGTCTTCCCAGCACTATTTATTGAAGAGACTACCTTTACTCAAATGTGCGTTTCTGGCTCGTTTGTCGAAAATTATCTGTCCATATGCATGTGGTTTTATAGCTGGATTCTCTATTCTGTTCCATTGATCTGTGTGTCTGTTTCTCTGCCAGTACCATGCTGTTTTGAATATTGTAGCTCTGTAGTATAATTTAAAGTCAGGTACTGTGATACCTCCAGCTTCGTTCTTTTTTTTGTTTTTCAGCATGGCTTTGGCTGCTCTGGGTCTTTAGTGGTTCCATACAAATCTGATGATTTCTCGTTATATTTCTTTAAAAAACGACATTGGGATTTTGATGGGGATTGCATTAAATCTGTATATTGCTTTGGGTAATATGGCCATTTAACTATGTTGATTCTTCCAATCCATGAACATGGGATATTTTTCCATTTTGTTGTGTCTTTTTTAATCTTTCGTAGTAATGCTTTGTAATTTTTAGTATATAGATCTTTCACATTCTTTGAGTTTACTCCTACCTCAACATAATAGAAGCCATATATGATAAACCCTCAGCTAATATCATACTTAGTGGCGAGAAATTGAAAGCTTTTTGCAGATAGGAAACCCTAAAGACTCTACCAAAAAACTACTAGAAACAATAAACAAATGCAGTCAGGTTGCAGGATACAAAATCAATGTGCAAAAATCCATTGCCTTCCTGTATGCTAACAACAAAACTTCAGAAAAAGAAATGGAAAAGACAATTCCTTTTGCAATAGCAACCAAAAAAATAAAAAACCCGGGTATTGCTGCCCTTTTAAAATGAACTTTATTTTTAGAGAAGTTTTAAGTTTCCAGAAAAATTGAGCAGAAAGTACACAGCACCCTCCCTCATCCCGATACACAATTTCCACTTGTACTAGCATCTGGCATGAGTGTGGTGCATCTGTTACAACTGATGAGCTCATAGCGACATGTTGTTGTTAACTAAGTCGATAGTCTGCATTAGGGTTCACTCTGTGTTGTACATTCTGTGGGTTTTGACAAACGTATAATGACATGGATGGGCCATGACAGGATCACACGGAATAGCTTCAGTCCCTCAATGCCTTGTGCCCTTACATACCCCTCTCCCTCTGCCTGCCCGTTATGCACTCTGCGTGGAACCGTAGGAAGCCAGGATCACATTGCTGATCAGAGAGCAGGAACTCTTCCGATCTGTGCTGGAAAGCTAACCGTGGGTCCTGGCTTCGGGCTGTTCGAACCTCTCCTCTCTCACCCCCATCCCAGGTGCCGCGGAGGATGGCCCACGGGTGGTTTTCATGGTGGATCTGTGGCATCCGAATGTCGCCGCGGCTGAACGGCAGGCCCTGGATTTCATCTTTGCTCCAGGCCGATGAGAACACTCCCTGTGCCAGGTCGGCGAGAGTGGCCTGGGGCAGCCGGGACAGCCTGTGGGCTGCCAGCGCCCACGTGTTACGATTCCATGCTCAGAAACCTGCCTCGACAGAAAGCTCTCATCCGGGATTTTTATACCACGTTGGGTCCCTCCTTCCTCCCGTTGTTAGTGGGAAACTCCAGCTTGTTTTTCCTTAGAGGTCTTTTTCCTTCCGTCTGTTTGCTTCTGCGGTTCGTTTCCGCCTAATGGCGCGGGACTGCGCTCTGCGGCCAGAGGCTCCCAGAGGCTCGGTGCCCCTGTTGTCAGTGTCACGTTGCTACTTGTTTTTTTTCAGTGATCAGATGGTTCTTTGTATGAATGTAACAACGTAAAACTTCTTGTGGTCACCATACAAAACAGAAAACCCTGCCACCCAGAGCACTAGAGAACGTGGCCTTTGCTGCTGTCATGGCCACAAGGGGGACCCCCCACCCCCGTCCCCCAGGCAGGGAGAGGCTGCAGTCCCTGCACCCGGCCAGCTGCATGGGCAGGGTGGACATGGGCAGGGGCACGGCCTGGGGAAATGTCACCATCCGCTTACCCCACTGCCAACCCTGTCCGTCTGATGGCGGAGAGCGTGCGGCTGTGGGACCGGAGCGGCGGGGCTCCCACGGCTCAGCCGCAGAACGAGTACTTCACTTACCTCACTGCCTACAGAAGCCCCACTGCCACCCGGGCCTGTGCAGTCCCCGTGTTAGCCGTTGTGATGCTGAGCTCGGAGACCACCTGGCTGGCCCCTTGGAGCTGTGGCGGCCGAGACTCCACTTGTCCAGCGACATCTGGGCAGCCTTTCTCTGGCAGAACTGGAACGCCAGGTGTGACCCAAGTATCTGTTTTGTTCGGAGTTTCGTGGCCTATGATTTTCCATTTACCTGTCTGTACATAAAGGTTCAAACGCTGGACTCAGTGCGAGAGTCAGCCTGTGGCCCTGTTATTGCGAAGGCGTGAGCTGAGTCATGGCAGCCGCAGCGAACTTGTGAGCGGGGATCCCCGGAAGACCGACAGACCCAGAGGACCCTGGTCCCGGCGCTGGCCTGGCCCTTCCATCTCCTGTGAAGGACACGGCCAGGTGGGGGCGCTAAGTCTAGAAACGTCCTCCTGTTAACTGAGGTGTGGAGGGCAGCCTCCTCCATCCATACCAGATGCCGGTTTGCATCATGGATCATGGCAGTGTCAGGTCAAGGAGGCCGTGGCGCGGTATGAATACAGGCCTGCCACGTGTGCAGGTCCCGTGTTTCCATCCACATGGAAGCCAGCAGCTTCTGGGAGAAGTAACCACGACCTGAAACGCACTAGCAGATCCTAGCAAGTGTGCCAAGAAAACGTGTCCACGGTTGAGTGAAATGTCTGTGAGAGATTTCCAGTGATTAGAATGCAGGAAAGGGCAGACCTTTCAAAACACCTGAAGTCTCCCCACTTGTATTTGTTAAAGCATCACTCGAGGTGCATGATTTCTATACATACCGACCGCTCCACGTTTACAGAGCCAACAGCCCGCGCAGGCACCTGGCCGCCTGCTCTCGTGTGACGTGATGGGGAACAGGAGATCAATAAAGGGTCTTGCTGAAAACCACAGTGAAATGGTGGCGTCGTCTGTCGGGCAGGAGCCCTGAGCCTGGCACATCTGAGTTGGAGGCTCTTGTTTTGGGATGGTGTCACAGCGACAGGCAGGACCCTAAATGTAGAGTGACCGAAGCAGGATGTTGTAAAAGAATGGGTGTGGGGCGGGAGAGACAAGAACAGGCCTGCGGAAGGTTAAGGAATGGCCAGTGTCACCCTGGCAAAGAACAGGGACTCGGGCTTAAGGAAAGCTGGTGCCAGGACTCGGTGCCAGGTGCTCCTTCCCACGTGACCTCTGGCCAGTCCCGGAGCCTCTGGGAGCCTCAGATCGCGCCTCTGTAGATGGTCCCTGGCAGGCAGAGCAGCGATGCTGGCTCCCTTCCTGCCATGGCCGAGGTCCCAGGCAGTGACAGAGAAGCCGGTGAGGAGGCAGGATGGGTGAGGCAGAGATGGATGAGCACATCTGATTGGGGGGGGGGGGGGGGGGGGCGGGGCAGGGCAGCCAGTGGCTCCTTTCTATCCCTGTAGAAGCAGGTTCCTCAGTAGCTACAATTTGAATTTTCTTCCTTTTCTTAGAAGAGGGACAGATGGCCCTGGTGGCCTGGAGCCCCAGGAGCAGTCTGGCCGCCAGGTGTTTTCCCATGCAAGCCCGTTCCCAGCCCACAGCCCTGGCTGGGCTGCCCTGGCAAACGGAAGAGCCAGGCGTTTCTCCCTCCTCCAGGTGCATCGCCAGCTAGGCAGCTGCTGAAGTGATTTATACGCTTCAGCCTGGGATGCTCAGGGCGACAAAGGGGCCAGCATGCCCGCCCCACTCAAGCGAGAAGCCCTGCCTTGACCCCGATACAGCCGGTATCAGCTCCAAGGCCAGACTGCACAAGGTCGATTTGCACCAGGTCACATCCCACGTGTCCCAGGCTCCTGCTCATCCTCCCCAAACTCATCTAGATTTTCTGGGTTCTGAGCCCCTTGGTGACAGTGACCACACCTACAGCTTATAGTGGGGGACGGGGAGCGTATGCCTAATCCACTAGTTCTTGACTTTGGCTGCACAGTACAATCAGTATTTTGAGAAATACTGATGCCCACACCCCACCCCCAAAGCATTTCATTTCTTGGTTCAGGGAGTACGGTCCAGTCCTGGTGTTTGTTTTAACCCTTTACCTGCCTTGATTCTAATGTGTAACTGGAACTGAGGGTTGCTGCCCTGAATAGCAAAAATAGAAAAGCCTTTGGAACCAGCCAGCTTGAGATGAGAGTCTGGGCCGTGCCCCTGTGTGATGATGGGCAGCCCCCCCGCCCTTGGGCCTCGAGGGGACGGTCAGTGTTTTAAACACACTTCTCCAGCAGCACCCTGGTGAGATCATGTGAGACTTGTCTTTCTCTGACTGGCTTATGTCACTTAGCATAATACTCTCTAGGTCCCTCCACGCTGTCTCAAAGGATAAGAAATCCTTCTTTTTCACTGCTGCATAGTATTCTGTGGTGTAAATGTACCACAGCCTTTTTATCCACTCGTCTACTGATGGGTACTTGGGCTGTTTCCAGATCTTAGCTATTGTAAACTGTGCTGCTATGAACATAGAGTGTATATATTCTTTCTGATTGGTGTTTTAGGTTTCTTAGGATATATTCCTAGAAGTGGGATCACTGGGTCAAATGGCAGTTCCATATTTAATTTTTTGAGGAAACTCCATACTGTTCTCCACAGTGGCTGCACTAGTCTGCATTTCCACCAGCAGTGCATGGGGGTTCCCTTTTCTCCACATCCTTGCCAGCACTTGTTGTCTGTTGATTTGTTGATGGTAGCCATTCTGACAGGTGTGAGGTGATACCTCACTGTTGTTTCAATTTGCATCTCTCGGATGATCAGTGACTTTGGGCATCCCCCTTTATTCTTTTTTTTTTTTTTTAAATATATTTTATTGATTTTTCCCAGAGAGGAAGGGAGAGAGAGAGTTAGAAACATCGATGAGAGAAACATCGATCAGCTGCCTCCTGCACATCTCCCACTGGTGATGTGCCCGCAACCCAGGTACATGCCCTTGACCGGAATCGAACTTGGGACCCCTCAGTCCGCAGGCCGACGCTCTATCCACTGAGCCAAACCGGTTTCGGCCCCCCTTTATTCTTAAGCCAAGTTTGAGTTGTGGTTTCTATCCCTGGCCACCAAAACGTCCTACTCCACTCTGTGAGCCTCATCTGTAAAAATGAGCCCTATGCCTACTTTCAGGTTTAATAAGTCAAATTCTGGGTGGGTTGGGCATGCTGCATACATATTTTTAAAATGTAAATACGAAAAGCAAAGCTAAGTACAAAATGCTGTTTCTAAGGACCACTGCGGCCTGCCACCAGCACCCTCCCCATAACATTGACCTCCCCAGCGGAGTCTCGCTAAGCAGCTGTGAGCACAGGGAGCAGGACAGAACAAGGCCACAGATCTTCGAGCTGCTGACAGATGGCAGTGAGAATACTCAGACAGATTGCAGCGTTAGGTGGCAGGAGGCAGCACACACAGGCTGATTGACTTTCTGCCTCCCTCCCAGGCATGCACACTGGTCCTGATTTCTAGTTACCCCCCACCTTCCCCGTGTTTCCACACTTCCGATGCCTTAGCCACCCCGATTCAAGGTGAGGGCCTTCCTCCTTGAGGACAGAGAGCACCGTGCTCACTAGACGATCCCTCCACATACAGTATTTCCACACGGTGAGGAGGGACAGGCTCAGAGCGGGCAGCTGATGTGACCAAGGTCATGCGGTGGCTGGAGGACGGCGGCAGTGAGAAACCAGGTGGCCAAGTAAACTCAGCCGTCTTGAACTCAAACACGGCCTGCAGAGGGACCCCCTGCACAGGGACGCCTGGAAGGCCATTAGCGACACTCACGCTGCACTCATTTGCAGAGGGGGCCCACCGTATGCCACGCCTTTAAATACACCGCGTCTTCCTTTCCGCTCTAAAGAACATGACATGGGGTTGAGAGAAACGAAGTAACTTGGGTCAGTTTCCAGGGCAGTAAGTCGCACAGCTGTGACTGGAACCCAGGACTCTGACACCAAAGCCCACAGGCGCCTGTTGCCACCGGAACCCTGTGGTCTGCTTGGAGATGAAGGATGTCCATTCAGACTCCAGTGCCTTTTAACAGCACACAGATGGCTCCTGTCACCCTCCTGCCCACGGGCCTTGTTGGGTCCCCTGGTCAGGGCCCCAAGCCCTTCCCTGGGCGCTCCTCACTTGATCGTGAAGACTCACCTTAAAGGGCAGCACCTGGCTGCCTGAGCACTGATTCTCAGAAACCAAAGCGTTTCGTATTAAAAGCATTTCTAACGCAATGGCAGCCCTGGGAAATCAGATGGGAAGAGAGGTTTCTGGATGCAAAACAAATAAGATTAAGATCTGCCAGTGGCCTGCCATGTAGGAAGGCCCAGCGCAGGCAGCGATTTTCTTGTGAAACATCTTGTGTGAAGGGTCCTTGAATCAGATGGTTCGCTGAGCTCCCGGTGGGTGGATGAAAATGGGTCCAGGCTCCAAACTGTCCCTGTTTCAACACACGACAGCTTGTAATCCACCCAGCTCGACTCTGGGGGCGTCAGCTCTGGAGCAAAAGGAAAAGCTGGGCAGCTTAAAAATACCCGCAAGGGAAAAGGAAAGCAGCGCGTTCTGTGTAAGTTAGTCCTGAAGGTTCCTTGCGTGGTTGGCGTGGAGACTTGGGATGAGTTTTTTCTTGGAGAACTTAGCAGAGAAGGAGGAAAATAGATATTTATCCTAGCTGGAGGTAGGATAGATATTTATCCCCGTGGGAAGATGGCCCTCTGGGCCAGCCAGTGGCAGGAGGGCGGGAGGAGGGGGCTGTGGGCGAGCCTGGCGGAAGCTGGTGCTCCTCGGAGCAGCTGGCTGGGCCCGTCACCCACGCAGAGACCATTCTGAAGTGCACCTTCCTCCCCTGGCCGCCCTGGGTCAGGCACGAAAAGGCGAAACGTGTCCACGCAAAATATGTGCGTACGTGCACACACACAAAACACCTCAGCCCCCACCTTAACTTGGTCACTAGACATGGTCCTCTTTAATTAATCAGAACTCAGTGGCAATTTTGGCTGTTTTATTTTAGCCTTTGGAAACTTGTTTCAAGAAAAAGACACCATGCCATACACATGAGATGCAATGATTGACATTGCAGTTTTCAAATGGAATCTTCCAGCAAACACTGAGGAGACTTTGGTAAATAGCTTCATCCTATGGTCTGTACCGCATTTCATAACATGTCTGACTATGATGTAATAGACACGAAACACACAAATGCATGTGGTTCCCTCACAGCCACACTGAGAAGCACAGGTCTGCTTTTGCCCCAGAACATTTTGGAAACTCCCATTTGGGGACACTCACCAAGAGGAAGCAGTGCAAAGCCCAGATCTGAGGCACATTGATTGGTTGCCTCCCGCATGCAGCCTGCTGGGATCGAGCCTACAACCTGGAATTTCGAACTCAAGACCCTTCAGTCCACGGGCTGACGCTTTATCTGCTGAGCCAAACTGGCCAGGGCTGGGCTCTTAGCTTTGAGTCTAGTTCTAAGGTACTTCAGACAAGGTGGCTACCCCCCCTCCCCCCACTGTCCCAGCTCTCCCTCCCAGGAGGACCACTCAGAAGACAATCTCACTGGGAAGTGGTGTGCCAGGCAGCTTGCTAACAAACCTGCCATCTCTCCGTGCGCTCACACCTCACATCGCCCCCTGCAGGCAGGGCTGGAAAACACTCGGGACAACTATGTTCTAGAAAGAATGCCACCTGAATTTTGTGGCCCATGTTAAGGCTGGGATGGACCAGCGGCAGATGTCAGGCGCCTCAGCCCAGGGACAGATCTAACCGGCCCCGAACCTCTTTGGTACAAGGAGCCGAAGCGCCTGTTCTGGCCCAGCACTGCCGGTGAATCAAGGTCTTTATCACGCGCTCCGGGTCTGCGGACCCGAAGAACTACCCCGTCCCCGCCAATCTGTAAAGGAGCATCCAACACTCCGACGCATAACTTCCTAGAGAGGAGCATTCCCGGGAAAATGAACGGGGGTGTTTTCTGCTTAAAAGGCAGAGCTTCCTCGGTGGGCACTGCATTGGATAGTCATCCCGGGGGGCCTTCCCCCCGAGGCCCAGTTCACAGTAAGTTCACCCCGTGCTTCAGCAGCTTCTGCTTGGCTTTGCCCGGGAGGCTGAAGGCGGAGTCCTGGGGGCTGGGGAAGCCGGAGCTCCGCGGGGCCGCCGCCAGCTGCTGGAAATAGGTTTCCTGGACGGGGTTGCAGCAGGCGTACACGGCCGTGGAGGCATTCCTAGGAGAGGAAGAGAGAAGGTAAGTCCGACGCTGCTGCAGCAGGTCTCAGACCACACAGACGGTCTGTGCCTGCCATAGAGGCCCCCCAAACTGGGAACGTGTGGAGAGAACATGTACTTTAGAGTCAGAGCCTGGCCCTGCCACTTTAAAAGAGTGTGCCCTGGGGCAAGTCACTGCTATTGCTTGTGCTCCAATGCCCCCATCTGTAAAATGAGGGAAAAATGCACGTTTCCAGATCGTCCCAAGGACTAAATGGGACTTATTCACACAGCAGGCACTCCCCTCCTCGGACCCTCCCACTTGCCTTGTGCTCTGCTACTGGATTCACAGAGAAGCATGTGGGGAGAAAGGAGAATTCACTTGGTTACATACTCAAACAACAATCATGATGAACAGATGTCTGTCTGCTGGCATGGAGGGAGGTGTTTAGGGCATGCGATGGGATGGAAAAGGAACTAGTGAGCAGTACATGAGTATGATCCTGTTTTCTAGAAGAAAGACTTAAAATAATCGACATAGAAATACTAATCTATATTTCATATTAAAAACAACAAAGCTTGGAGTAATATACACCAAACTAACAACTAAGGGCATCTCTGGGGTGCTGCTGGGTGAGGGGAAATGTTTGCTTCCTAGGCCTGGCAGGAGGCTGAGGACTAGAATGAGCACGATGATGTCACAGGTCAGAAGACCATCCCTCGCTTCAGCATCATTTGTGACAAGGAGACGGAGACCCTTCTCCCCAGAGCTGTCCTCACCGTTGTCCCCCAATGTCTAAAGCAGGTCTGAGCCCCAGGATGGGACCCCCAAAATACACGACACAGAAAACCATGCGAGTAGGTTATAGCAGCTACCAGGGCGAATAACAGAAGACCAGAACGGCAGTAACTGGAATGTTCCTCATGAATAAGGCTCCACCCGGGCCCCCGGGAAGGTGATTCCTGTGCAGGACTGTGAGGGGAAGGCTCACCTGAGGGTCATCTCGTACAGGGAGGGCAGCTGGGCAAAGTCGGAGTGCATCAGGCGGACGGCCTGCAGGAAGCGGCGGTCCTGGGGTGTGGCCGCCTGAGGCAGGTTCGCTTCCAGAAGAGGACACAGAGTTGTGAGTGGCGGACTCCTTCCCAGATCTCCCCAACCTGGGACTGTCGCCTCAGACACGCGTGCAGGTGCCAAGGGGGAGGGAAAAGGCCTGCAGGGAGCTGGGCCCTGACAGCTGCCACCAAGCAGCGGCGCAGGCACTGCCCCCGATGGTAAGCGACACCGGTTTGTGGCCATCACAATTTTAGCAGAAACTTATCACAGATACTTGAACATGTGTGTGCTTCCCTCAAACACGGGAGAAACAGCCAAAAAAGGACAAACGAGCAAGGAGGTGCTCATCAAGCAAATTCTAAATGCCGTGGAGTGGGGCTGCAAGTGAGGAAACAGCAGCCTAGTTGCACATCCGACAGCTCTGGCCAGAGCGGCGGCAGCCTCCATTCACTGGCCCCAGGTCTAACCTCCGCCCCGTCCAGGAGGTGCCCCGGCCACACCGCTGCGCACAGGGCCGGCTCCTTACCTGTCAGCACGTTCTGGACGCGGTCGTAATGCGTGAAGTTGTAGGTTCTGCTGGAGGAGGCAGCCTCGTCCCTGGGCAGCGTCTCCTTCAGGTGGACCTCCAGCCCGTTCAGGGACGCCAGGCTGCTGTGGAACTGCAGAGGAGCCCACGGGCCCGGCTGCAGTGAACCCGCAGGCCCCGCACCCAGCAAACGGTCACCCAAACAACACCGCGTGGCTACTGACTTAGAGAGGACTCTGACCAGCGTTTTTACCCATTTTTAGAGAAGTGCTAACTTCTGCCCTGATATTTTAATGCTGTTGTAAAATTATAGAAAAATAAAGGAGAGCAGAAAAATACATTTTACAAGGAAGGAAAAAGCAGAGAAAAATAGCCCATAGTCTCACCATCCAGAAATAGCCACTGTTGGCCCTCACACCTCTCCTTCCAGCTACGACTTTCCCACGGAGGCTGCACGTTTGCCCAGCACCAGCACCGCCGACCGGGCCCCCACCCTCCTGGGCTCTCAGCCAGGCCTGGGCTCCCCGGGCCTCCACTGTCTGCAAGGAGTCCCCCTCTGGGCAAATAGAACAGGATAGCCATGCGCTGTGCTGCACGGACTGGGACTTGTCAGTCTAATGGTTTTCTGTGCGCTGTTCAGAGGCACCCGGCTGAGGAGACTGGCCCAGCACTTGTATTAAAAAACCCTCCCTGCCCGGCTGGTGTGGCTCAGTGGTTGAGCATTGACCTATGAACCAGAGGTCACGGTTCGATTCCCAGTCGGGGCACATGCCTGGGTTGCAGGCTCAATCCCCAGTGTGGGGCGTGCAGGAGGCAGCCCATCAATGATTCTCATCATTGGTGTTTGTATCTCTCTTTCTCTCTCTGAAATCAATAAAAATACATTTACAAAAATCCTTTGTAAACTCTAAGGCGCCACCCTGAGAGAAGGCATTTTTATAGAGGCAAGAAAATGAAAATGATGATGATGTGCGCCTTATTTACTAGTAACCAAGTGCTTCCATATGTGCCGGGGCCTACAAACCATGGCCTGCGCCAAACCCAGCCCATTCTGTTTTTGTATAGCCCGAGAGCTAAGAATAGTTTTTATATTTTTACATGGTTAGGGGGAAAAAAAATCAAAATAATATCGTGACACATGAAAATTATTGAGGTTCCCACTTCCGTGTCTATAAATAAAGTATTCCTGGGACACAGCCACACCAGCTACATACTGTCTAAGGTTGAGAACCGTCACAGCAGAGTTCAGCGGTTGGCAAAGCGGGAAATATCTGCTGTGTGTTCCTTGGCATTAGAGTCTGCCAGCCCCTGGTACATGCTACACATACGCAGCCCTCACCGCAGCCCTGGCGACACGGAGCTGGGCCTGACTCCTGGCTCCTCCCGCTTCTGGTCCACAGCACAGCGCGGGGCTCAAGTGTGAGAGCGCCACAAGGTGCAGAACCAGCGATGCCGACACACATTCCCTCAGAAGGCCAGGTTCACGGGGAGGGTGCACGTCCGTATTTCACTCTGGCACCAAGCCCAGGCTCACCCCCTGCACGCAGGCAGCTCAGGGTCCCCTACAGTCATGAAGAACTGGTGTGATCCCTGCCTGTGCAGGTCAGTGAGAGGCCTTCGGGTTTTGAGCAGGAACTACCAGTAGCTCTGTGCTGCCCCCTGGTGGGAGTCTAGTCCCCCTGGTGGGAATTCAGTCTGTTCCCTCTGAACTAATCCATCTCTCCTGGCTGCTCCCCGCTCATCCCCGTCTACCCACCTCCCAGCCGCCCACCCTGGGCCAACATAAAGAGCTGGCAGTTGATCCGCTGAAAGACAAGATGGCAAAATGACACCAGGCTGCCTGCCAGTGAGTGACAGCACCAGGGAGGGGGTGCTCACTGTCACAGCGGAGCTGCAGCTTACCCTCCTGCAGGGCCTTGCTTTCCAGACAGCAGCGGGCGGAAAGCAGGTCTGGGGCAAAAAGGCAATAGAGGCCCTCTCCCAAAATGGTGAGGCAGGCAGCCTTCGGGGCTGGTCCTTCACCCCAGTCTCAGACCAGCAAGCTCATCAGTCACCACACCCTACTCTTCCGAAGAGAGGCGTCTTCTTCAGTAAGCTGTTCTCTCTTCCCGGGGCCTTCCCTACACCGCACCTGACTTTACATGCAAGCCCATGGCAGCAGCTGTCCGAACACATGGGTGGGCTGTGGCACACCAAGGGCGTGTCCACACAGCCAGAGCCACGGAGGGCGGGCACCTCCCCTTTTCTCACCTTCCCACCGACCACTCCACGGTCAGGTCAGTAGGGGACAGAGTGGATGGGATGGGGAGGAGAAACGAGCAAGATTCTGGGCCCGCTACTTGCATTAGGTCTTTATCTCAACGAGGCCTGTTTTCTTGCTGGTAAAATGGGAATTACAATGCCACAGGCTGGCTAAAGGATAGATGTCAAGTGGTTAGCACACACTGAGTCTACAGGATACATCTTACTTCCTTCTTCAAGTGCAGCCTGAAGTAGTTTTTCCTTTTCTTTTTGGGAGGAAGGTAAAAGAGCTATCATATCTACTTTATTGCATCCAAACACTGGACCTTCAAAATAATTTGTCTACAGCTGGAGACTAAGGACAGACCCTGAAAACCAAGCCTCGCAGGAAGAGGAGATGTATAGCCCGTGGTCCCTGTGCTGTCAGAGGAGGTGGCGGCGGCGCTGAGAGCTGCGGTGAACGCGGGTATGGAAGCAGAGGAGCCACATGGTGGCCGTGTCTGAGGGACGGGGAGCGACAGGCAGGTCTGCGGAGGAGCAGTCTCGCCGGGGGCTCTGAGCACGGAAGCTGCCATCCCTCTGCCTCTGCGCTGCAAGGTGGCTGGCTCCTTTATGGAGGGTCACAGCCCTGTGTGCTGACGAGACCAGCTGAGAATAATACAGATTGAAGAACAAACACAAGGCAAGCCCCAGGACACCATTCACCCTGCAGCAATTTCAACCTCCTGTTCCTACTGCTACCACCTCCCTGCCAATGACAGTAAGGCCGTTACTATAGCAACTGCATCTCCAGGGTAGGCCCCAGAGAAGGTACTGCTGGAAGTGGGGCAGGGGCTGGGACGGGTTAGTTAAGAGGAGCTTCTGGAGCCAGTTAAGCTTTGGGACGTCCCAGGCCCCCTAGGAAGGAGCCTCCAGCTCACTGTGGTACAGTGGGGGGTGGGGGGTGGGGGGTGGGGGCGCTAAGCAGGGAAGGGGAGCGTCTGAAGAAGTCCCAACACCGGCTGTGACCATGCAGGAGCAGGCTCCAGACGACTCAGATCCTAGAGCTGCCCAGGTTCAGAAGTGAGGCCAACAGTGGTGGCGATGGCACAGCAACGCCGTGTGCGCGTGACCACACTGTCTAAAACAGCAGGGCCTGTCACCACCTCGCACTGCTGACGAGGAGCCAGAGGCTCGGGGGGCAGAGGCCTGTCTGTGTGCCTGGTCCCACAGCCAGAATCAAGACTCCAACTTGGTCTTCTGTGTCCAAGACACCGGAAGAATCAGGAACATGCAAAACAAGCCGTGCCCTGGGCTTGCTCTCACTCACCCCCACAAGCCCCGGGAGGCAGGTATGCCCATGCCCACCGAATCAGCAAGGCCTTTCGCCGGGGCACGCAGCACGGAGCCCTGCCCCCTCCTGCTCGGCATCGGGGAGCACCCTCCCTGCCCGCGTTCCCAGGGGCTGGGGCAGGGCGGAGCACTCACCACCTCCTCGATGGCGGCGCCGTCTCCCAGCAGTGGCTCCTCGGCCAGCAGGGACAGCACCAGCCCTTTGACACTGTGAGTGTAGAGGTTCATGCGCACGAGTTCTCCCTGGCATGCTGGGGTCGCCCCGGGGTCAGTGCTGTCTGTGGAGGGGCTGTCGTCTGGAAGGTCTGCACAGCCCGAGTGGCATTCCAGGCCGGGGGCTGAGCGGCCCTCCTGAACCCCATGCACACACGGCTCCGTGCCTTCTCCCCCCTCCAGAAGCTTAGTTCCTCCCTGCCTTGAATCTGGGCGAGGCGACGACAATGGCCTGCTTGTACTTCTGGGGAGTGGGGCGGGGCTGCTGTCCCCTGAGAGGTCTTGGTGCTGCTCGAGGGCTCCATCCTGGGTGAGCGTGTCAGGAGCGGAGGGAGAGGGGAGGCCCGCGATGGCGGTGTCCCCAGGCAGGGCCTCCTTGGGTTCCCCGTGGCCGGAGTTGCTGACAGATCCCTTGGGACAAGGACCACCGCCATCTGGGACACACCCGTTGGAGAAGGCAGGAGAACCTGAGGCTGTTCCTGTTTCCCGAGCTTCTGGAATGTGGATTTCGGACAAGTCCAGCTCCTCGTTCCCCCTGGGCCGACCGGGTTCCCTCCCCGTCACTGGGGAGCGGCGGAAGCCAGGACTCTGGTCCCTGGCAGTGGCCTGCGGGTCTGCAGGCTGGGCGCTCTCCGGGCCACGGTCGGAGGGGTGTCCACTCTCCCCACTGCCGTTTGGCCACGCGGCGTCAGCGGGCCTGGGCTCAGGGGTGGCTGCCCACGGCCAGGCCACGGCCTCCTCGTGCCGGTCTTCTTTCAGGGCGGAGGGGCTGCAACCCTTCGGAGGATGCCGAGCAGAGCACCCCTGGAGTCCGGCTGGAGATGCAGGAGGGCTGGCGAACAGGGAAGATGTGAGGACACAGCGACAGCACAGGGCACGTGCCCTTCCCCGGGGAGACGAAAGCACTGCATCGGTGCCTGGGGCCTCAGAGCCTAAGAGGCCAAACCATTGGCGTAAAAATGAGGCGATGCCTGGCCCTCAGGCTTCACCAGTGATGCCAGGATCATCGACTGGAAACGGCAGGCCCCCCTGAGTCAGCCGCATTTGGGGTCTACTCTAAGTCACCCCACACCGGGCATTACACTAACACTGTTTCAGCTTTCACCAGGAGCCCAGAAAGTAGGTATTACTGGGTCCATTTTATAAAAACTAAGGCTCAGGTAGTGAATGCACTTGCCCGAGGTCATGTAGCAGATAAGCAACAGATTGGGGTCTTGAAACCCACACTCCTGTCACCATACCGGCTGCCTCTTCTCTCTCTGCTGAAGTCCCCGGAGCCCATTCCAGGGCAGAGCACGGAGAAGATGGAGTGAAGGACGGATGGGACGTCCTAGGACCTAGGGGCTTGCGCGCATAAACCCATGAGAGGGAGCCCCGAAAGCGTGGTTTAAGGGGAAACCCGGTGCTCCCCTACCTGGTCACAGGCTCCCCTGGGAACTCATGGAGACTGGCAGCTTCCTCTTCCGTCACGAAAACAGGCATGATGTGGACATTCGGGGGCAGGACGGCTCCTGGAATCACAAAGCAACATGGAAGGCCCCCCTGGACCACAGAAGAGAGGGGGAGTAACTGTCCTTGGGGTGACACATGTACCCCAGCATGCCGGGCCAGAGAGCAGAGCTGTGACACACTCCTCAGCCCAGACAGAAGCACAAAACTGCAGCCACGGTTTCTGTGGTCAGCAAGGAAGAGCCCACGGGGCACCTTTGCTCCCAGCTGTGGAGAAGGTGACACTGGTGGAAGAAAATTTAGTGGCTCTGAAGATATAAACTGGGGGAAAAGCAGTTCCAGCTGAAAATAGGAAAGTTCCCCAACTTATGCTTCAAAATAACACAAAACAACCCTCCCGGGCACGTGTCCAGTCCTGCACAGGTCCTCCTGGCACTGGCCATGCGCCTGGCCCTCTCCCAGTCAGGGTCCCCCGGAACCTGTCTGAGCCGTCTCGCTATAGTGAGTTAGGGAGGAACTGGAAAGGGGGATCTAAAGGGTGCGCCTACACAATGCAGTATACAGAAAACCTGTTATAGAACTTAACTTACTAACCAATGGTTAACGTTACTAACCGATGTCACCCAGTAAGTTTCATTTTTAAAGAAGATGCGCCTAAAATCATGAGCCTTATTTGCAGTTAGGATTCCCATGGCTAACGTTGTACTCGAAGCTCTGTTCCATCCATTTCCCTAATCTTCCGAGCAGATGAAATAGCACCTGGGACACGTTCACAGGACTGTACAGGGACAGGCAGCATAGAGGACCGCATCCTCAGCGCGCCTCACGACTTACCACACTCCCGCAGGGCATCCCCTCCTGTAGGTATTCTCTGCAAATAAACACACACCAGTTAGCGCTGGGTACCACTCCCCTCCTCGCTAACCATCGGGACTGCACTACGCCATCTGCTCATAAAGTAAGTTTGTCCCAGATGCTTGTCCCCAGCACGTGCCAGCTGCGAAGCAGATGGAAGGGAGGCTGTCCTCGCTGCCTGCTCACCACCATGGGGGCAGGTGAAACCCGCCTCCACCCACTCACATCAGGCTTTCTGTGCTGATTTCTCAGCGTCTCCCCTCTGGGGGTGAAAGTGGGGCTTTGTGTTTTCTTCTATACGTTCAGAGAACCCTTCTAGAATCCGGCCTCCTTTGCCATAGCCAGGCCCAGTGCTCACACACATTCCAGGATGACAGAAATGTGAAGGTCCTGCGACCTCGTGATAAACAGTTCACCAGGTAGACTGTTCTAACGACACCTCCACCAGCAGAGGGGAAGGAGCGGACGGGAGCCCTGCCATCGTTCTAAATGGCCACTGATTTAGTAAGGGCAAAGAGCTAGGCCTGCGGTACATGTAAACCTGTGACCTCCTGTTAGGACGAATCAAGTAAAATGAAAGAAGTGATCACCAATGTACAGTGCAACTGTGGGCAATTTGATTCTCAATGAGCATCCATGTGTGTTTTTTCTCATTATAAAAGCAATTAAGTAAATATGCAATGGAAGTATTTTAAGAGTATCTGATTTCCCAAGTCATCCTTTAGCATCTATGAAAATCCAACATCTTGCCCGGCCGGTGTGGCTCAGAGGTTGAGCGTCAACCGATGAACCAGGAGGTCACGGTTCAATTCCCGGTCAGGGCACATGCCTGGTTGCGAGCTCGATCCTCAGTGGGGGCATGCAGGAGGCAGCCAATCAGTGATTCTCTCTCATCATTGATGTTTCTATCTCTCCCTCTCTGAACTCAGTAAAAATGTATTTAAAAAAATTCATCTCTTTGACATAAAGTCCAGCGTTGAGGGAAGTCAAGTTCTCATAGTTGCACTTGGATTGAAGAAAAACCAACTCTCCAAGCCCACCACGCGGAAAGCAAGCTTTTCTGCCAGCCTTGCTGGGGAAGTCACTCGTGAGGAAATGACACTGACAGGCCTGGGGTCCTGACAAGATGAAGGGAGGTGACCGCCCCCATAGCGCCCATCCATCCCGAGCGGACCAGTCTCCCAGGGTTGCCTGGTGTGGAAGCTTCCAGCCAGATGGTGGCTGAGCCCTACCTGGTCCCGAGGTGCAGCTCGATGAAGCAGGACCTTGGCCGTGAGGGAGGGTGGGAGCTGGGTGCTCACAATCCTAGGAGGTCAGACACAGGAACAAGGACAGTGTGAGAAGAAATACACTGCAGGACTGTGGACTGAAAAGACCCCTCACCCCCCATGTTGGCCCGGTTCCTGGGGACACAGCTGGTGAAAGTGTCAACTGGTAAAGCCCTCTGGAGGGCACTCTGGCGATTTCCATTAAAATTTCAAATGTCCCAACCCTGTGACTGGCTTGAACCAAGAAATATGCAGAAGAATGTTCATTACAGAGAAAAAAAGGTAAAATCGTCTTAAGAAAAAAGGGGTAAACAATTTAAATTTCCATCAAAAAGAGAACAGTTAAATTAATCACTTAACTGTTCATGAATTGTTAAATTAATATTTAAATTAACCATTAAATGTGCAGCTACTATGAGGTAGACCAATATGGACGGAGAAAATCTCACGGCTGAGAGAGAGAAGCCGCCAGGACTGGGAACACAGCCTTGAAGACCCGAGTCCCCAGGGGCTGCAGAGTTACTCCAGCCACACATCCCTCGGCCGCCAGAAAGCCCTGGGCACAGCGCCCCAGCCCTGCCTGCCCTGGGCTGTAAGGGCGAGCCCTCCACGAGGAGAGAGGCCCTGGAAGGTGCGTGGAGGGCCTCTTAGGCACTCGGGCTCGTGGAGAGGCCCTCCACGTGCGTGAAGAGTACAGAGATCTCAGAGCCCAGCAAGAGACGGTCAGCCAAGAGGCTGCAGGAGTCGGAGGAGAAGCAGCACTACCACCGCTTTGCAGAGCGGAGCTGCAGCCGCAGGAGGATGCCGCAGGCCCACACCCCGAACATGCCGCTGCTGGTGACCTTGGGGGCTTTGCACTCCCATCACCTAGACCAGAGGTTCTCAACCTGTGGGTTGAGACCCCTTTGGGGGTCCAACGACCCTTTCACAGGGGTCGTCTAAGACCATCAGAAAACACATATATAATTACATATTGTTTTTGTGACTAATCACTATGCTTTAATTATGCTCAATTTGTAACAATGAAATTGGGGGTCACCACAACATGAGGAACTGTATTAAGGGGTTGTGGCATTAGAAAGGTTGAGAACCACTGACCTAGACTGACAACTAGAAACGCATGCCCCGTCCTGAGAATTATATGATCTCTTTAAAATGCCTTTGCTCATGGATGCATGGAACAGTCTGACAGCTGTCAGAGGGGAGGGGGGACTGGATGAAAGAAGATGAAGGGATTAGCCAAAAAACATACAAACATATCACATAGACACAGACAACAGTGTAGTGATAGCCTGAGGGGGAGGGGGTGGGGTAGGTGAAGATGGGCAAAGGGGGGGAAATGGGGACGGAAAGGGACTTTGCGTGGGGCGATGGGCGCACGATGCAGCGTGCAGATGGTTTTATCGAGTTGTGCACTTGCAACCTGTATGGTTTTGTGAACTGATGTCACCCCAATAAATTCAATAAATAAACAAATGCCTGGCTTTTCTATTCCTGACTGTTTTCTGGACACAACAGTTTCCAACGTCCCAGCTTTGCTCAGTCAGGAACGTAGCCTCAATCAAACCTGAACTACCTGCTATTTGCCAAACCAGCCCACTTGGAACTGGCCCGAGGAGTTCCCGCCTACGGCCTGGGGCGGCATGATCTGGCTGCAGGGGACTGGGAGGGGGAGAGGCTCCGGCGGTACTCACAGGCCTTTGTAGAGGATGCAGCCGGCTAGCATGTGAGGGCAGCGCTGGCAGGTCTGCAGGATGAGGGCCGCCTTCAGCAAGAGCAGGGGCTCCACCTGTGCAGGCAAGAAGCATGCCCACAGGTTAGCAAGCTTCCAGTCCGGGAAGGAAAGGGAAGGGGACTGCAGATTGTGGGCAGGCCCTAACCCAAAGCCTGGAAAAAGGAGACCGTGTCACCTGGTGAAGTCCGAGTCTTCTCTATACTCAGAACTCCCCACACCTCTAAATGCCAAGTTCTTGGAGGGCACAGTGAATAGGGCATGTGGCGGTTCCCAGGGGACACACAGACTGACCAGGAGACCCTGACTATCCGTGCTGAGACCAGCAGGCAGCAGGCAGGAGGCCGGCAGGTCTCAAATGCAAGTCATGGTGCCAGGTGATGCCCACCCCGCCGCACCCCCAGCCTCCCTCTGAAGCATGTGCCCCCTGGGACCAGCTGACTGGATGCCTGAGGGGGCCCAGGCCTCTCTTCCATGACATGAAGTGAAAACATCATGGCTTTCACTCGGGATACGCCTCAGTTCCACCTTCCTTGTAAGAAGTCAGTTGCTGAAAGTCCCTAAAAACACTGTACAGTAAGGATGTGATGTTCACCAAGATCAAGGCCACAGAGCTACAGACAGCCAGGCGGCCAGGCCAGCCACATGAGCAGCCTACGTGTCACTGAATGCCAGTGGCGGACGGGGTGGCTCAGAGGCGAAACACTTCTCAGCCACTCCCCCCCAGATATGGCGACCTTGTCTGTACAGTGTTAGCACTGGGCACTTCGAATGGTGAGAATAATTATATCATGTTAATATCAAGGGAGATTCAGATGACTTAGTTCAACATTTCTGGGACATGAGCAAAATAATAGTACTACCGTTACTAAGTATTTACTTTGTGTCATTTAGGTATTGTCTTGTTTCATCATCAAAACAGTTCTGGGAGGCAGGTATTATGACCCCATTTTATGGATAAGAAGAGTGAGGTTCCGAGAGGCGCCTTGACTTGTCCAGGCTCACATAGCTGGTGAGCAGCAGCATGGAACTTAGTGTAGGTCTTAACCACCGCGACTGAGAAATGACACATCCGTCACCTCTCTCCATATACAGTTCATTTCAAGGGGGAGAGACAAAGGTGTCAAGCTCGATTCCCATACGTGAAAGGAGAAGGGGGAGGCGAATTACTTTAGTCCAGTCCAAGTTCCAGAGGGAAGTGAAGATCTTATGCAGATCACTGGTGTTTTTCAGAATTTGTTCAATGAAGGTGTCCCACTCGGCGCTCAGTTCCTCCTGAGAACAATTCTGAAACAGAAACAGCCTGAGCGCAGGAGCTGAGCTTCTGAGAGACACCTCTTCGGTAAGGATCCCAACTACCACAACCTGACTCCTCACACGGACACCGGCAGAGGGAGGGGGAACTTCCTACCCTGAACCTCCCCACCACACTCAGGGCCCTGCCCTTCCCACCTACCCAGGGGGAGGAGATGGAGGTAAACCCTTGGAATGACTGTGACCTACGCCACTGGGGAACAGAGGCATCTGAGAGGGGCTCCAGGAGTCCCCGACCTGGTGGCTGGACACAGTGTGTCTGTGTAGAGTGGAACAGAACCTAGTGTGCTAGTAAGTGCTGTGTTCGGCAATTCTGGTTTTGCACAAGAGATGCCACATCCAGGCTCAATACCTTGTAAGCCAGAGAAACAGGTCCATTGTAGAAGTTAAAGAACCCAATGAGCTGGTGCAGAAACTGCTGGCAGCTGATATCCGGGAGCTCCACAGCACAGCCCAGCACCTTTGACGAGTGAAACGGACACAGGCATTTTCCTGGATTGAGTCCAAGCCCTGAATCCCTGCATCCAGGGCTCGCTCGCCACAGCCAGACCCCATAGCCCATTGAAACGGACCTACTGCCCAGCCCACACCCTCCACTCCAGCCAAGCTGGTCTCCGCAGAGAACAAGGTCTAGTACACGTCGCCCAACCTGAAATGCCCTCCTTCCTGTTCATTGGCCCAGCGCCCTCCCATCCCTTCAGTGCCCCTCACAGATGCTAGCACCTCCATGCAGCTTGCCCTGACCACCCAGCCAACGCTGACCTCTTTTCGGACCCGGCGCAGTGGTAGGCCTGTTATTTGGACACTGAACGTCTAATATGGGTTCACTGCAAATGCTGGGCTGAAACTGTTTCCCGAAGAGCCCTGGCACCTCCCGAGCTGGACCAAGGGCTCTGAGAACAGAAACTGACTAAATCCCCACGCATCTCAGAGCTCCCGGATGCGGGGTGCAGCGTCGTTCCCCGAAGATAAGCACTGGCTCTGCTGGACAGCATCTCGCCATATGTTCAAAGAGCCTGAAAGATGCTCATGTCCTTTGACTCAGCAATTCTACCTCTAGGAACCTTTCCTCAGGGAGTCACCAGACACGTGAACAAAGGAGCAAACCAACCCTGCAGGCGGGAAATTTACAAACTCCCTCTAGATGTACGCTCTTCGAGGCAAGGACCTTTGTTTTCCTCCTGATGTAACCCAGGAGTTACAGCCTCACTGATGTGACCCAACCGCACGGATGAAGAGCCTGCTGCTTCCCCAGCTGAGCTGTGGATCGGATGCGATTCCGATCACAACCCCACCAGCTTTGCTTTAGAAAATGACAAACTGATTCTGCTACAGAAACACAAAGGACCTGAAATGTGCAAAGCTAACCTGCAAAAGAAAAAGGCAGGGCGACTTACCCTACCTGATTTTAAGAGAGTGTGCTGCCCCTCTAAGATCTTCAGAGGGACCAATGGAAGGACAGGCAGCCCAGAGACACAGCCTCGCTTAAGTGGCCCCTGACCTTTGACAGAGGAGCCGAACAGGGAAGGGTCCAATAGGAAAGGGGAGTTGTGCGGCAATGGTGCTGGAACCAAAGGGCCCTTGACCTCTACTTCACATCCAAACACAAGCATTAATCCAAGATGGATTACTGGCTCAAATTTAAAAGCGAACACTAGAAACTTCCCCCAAATTGAGAACATCTTCTCCACTGAGGTAGGCAATGGTTTTAGACAGGATACAGAAAGCAATAACCGTAAGACTGATAAATTCGACTTCATTGAAATGAAAACCATCTGCTCATCAGAAGACATCATTAGGAAGATCAATAGGAGTACTGCAAAGTGAGAGAAAATACCTTTAAAATATGTATCAGACAAAAGAACTTGTATCCAGGATATATATAAAAAAACCCCTACAACTCAATTTAAAAAAAACACAACCAATTTACAAAATGGACAAAAGCTTTGGGTAGACACTTCGCAAAGGAAGATATACAAATGGCCTCAAGCCCATGAAAAAGCCTTAATACCATTAGTCATTAGGGAAATGCAAATGGAACTACAATGAGCTGCCACGGCACATCCAGCTGAATGGCTAAAATTAAACATCTGCCAACATCGGTGTGGACGAGGATGTAACATAACCAGAATTCTCACACATCGTTGGAGGGAATGTAAAATGGCACAGTCACTTTGGGGAAAGGGCTGGTGGTTTCTTATAAAATTAACACACACCTACCCCAGGACCCAGCAATTCCACACGGAGATATTTACTCACGAGAAATGAAAACTTATATCCATGAAAAGACTCATATAGGAATGTTCCTAGGAGCCTTATTCTTACGTGCCCCAAACTGGGCACAGTTCATGTGTCTGGGAAAAGGAGGCTGAGCCCTGGCCAGTGTGGCTCAGTTGGTTGAGCATCGCGCCGTGTACTGAGAGGTCGCCGTTCAATTTCAGGTCAGGGCACATGCCTGGGTTGTGGGCTCTATGTTTCTCTATCTCTCCTTCTCCCTTCCCCTTTCTTTAAAATCAAATAAAAAAATTTTTTTTAAATAAAGGAGAATGAATAAGCAGACTGTGATGTCTTCAGACAACGGAATGAGGTTCAGCAATGAAAGGGAAGGCACTGCCCATACACGCAACATAGATGAATCCCACAAACGTAAGCATGACAGAGCCTGCAGAGAGGATGTTATATGTATTATTTCACTCCTATGATGAACTCTCCAAACATTTCTGACATATCATGGCTGGTTCCTCCTCTCCTTTGAAAGACTGAAACCAACCTATAGAAATTCTTTCTATTCTGTGATGCAAATTGAGTTTTTAATCCCCATCTTTACTTCTTTATACTTCCATACTTCCTGGATAAATGACCCAGAAACTCGAAAACATTGATGCATGTATATCAGGTTTCAAAGAACCGTTAAGAAGAAGAAAAAAAAGAACAGCCATTTCTTTACATACAGTAGTACCGTATACGCTCAAGCGCCCTTTCCCCACGCCTACACTTATCTCAAAGTATTTCTGAGCAGAAGGGGTGTTCAAATGTAAGGAAGGATATTCATCTTTGTTGGTATTATTTCCAGCATTTCATTATGAATTTTTTCTGACATACCAAACAGTCGAAAGAGTTCTATAGTAAATATTCATACAGTTGACGCTCGAACAACACAGGCTTTCCAAACCTCACCGTCACGATACTTATCACCCAGACCATGACTCGTGGTAGAGGCCCTGGTTCTGCCCGTGAAACTCACCCAAAGGTAATCTCCATCGACCTTGATGGCGAACTTCAGTTTCCGCAGCCGAATGAGAGTGGGAGGAGTGCCCGAGATGTCAGAGATACAGCGGACCACCCCGGCAATCTGGCCACAGAGCAGCTCCCGTTGGTCAAGCAGGGTCTATGGGAAAGCAGCAAATGCCAGACAGGAAGTTGAAATTGCTGGGCTCTTGTGTCATTCCTTAGAGCAGACATGGTCTGCAAGCCAGAGCCAGTCGGCGGCCTATTTTTATGTGGCCTGTGAACTAAGAATTTCTTTAAGGGTTGTCAGAACAACAACAAAGAATATGTGATGAGGACCATCTGTGGCTTCTTACAAAGCCTAAAATATTTAGCTGTTTTCGGACAAAGTCTGTGGACTCCCGCCTGAACACCCACAGTAAACACATAAGATGATTCCACAGAAATGCATTTTTCTCCCTAGGATTATACCCTAGAATTTACCCCCAGCATGGGTAGAAGCATGAGCCTTTCATCCCTATTCAAATCCCCTGTAGAGTGGCCAGAGCAGCCTGGATTAATCCCAATTATCCAAGTCACAGGGTAGTCACATGAGCAAATTTACAGACCCCCCTAAGGCAGTGGTTCTCAACCTTCCTAATGCCGCGACCCTTTAATACAGTTCCTCATGTTGTGGTGTCCCCCAACCATAAAATTATTTTCGTTGCTTCTTCATAACTGTAATGTTGCTACTGTTATGAATCGTAATGTAAATATCTGATATGAAGGATGTATTTAGGCGATCCCTGTGAAAGGGTCGTTCGACCCCCAAAGGGGTCGCGACCCACAGGTTGAGAACCGCTGCCCTAATGGATCTTAGCATTAACTCACCTGCGGGGCAGCCAGACATTATGTGATGAACAGAAAATGTACACACCACCTATGAAAAATTCTTGCCTAAAAGAAATGAACTTGAACCTCATCAAGGCCCTAGATCTTACCACTGGTTTAAAGGAAACCCGGTGGATAGAAGACGTTAAATGACACCACCAGGAGGGAGTCATCAGCAAGCCCAGAGCGTGGGACAGGCTCCCATTCTATTGCACAAATGGCCTGGTTTCTTCGTAACAATGCATAGAGGGGGAAAGGGGAGGGGTGGGTGAGGAGGGCTACAGTAAAAGGGACTTAACACACAACATAACCCAAAGGAACAGCGAACCTTGATTGGGTCCTGATCAGGAAAAAGAGTGAGAAAGGGGGAAGGAAGGAGAGAAGAAGGGAAACTAGGTCTAGGCAACATCTAAGTAATAAGGCAAAATTTGAATATCGGCACTACCTGACGATATTAAGGAGTTATTGTTACTAATTATTATAACTGTTGTTAGGTGTGATTTTAAATAAGAAAAGTCCTTTTCAGTTAGAGAGGTTACTTGATCCTGATAACACAATATCTAGGATTTGCTTCAAAATACTCCAAGAATAAAAGGGCAGAGATTTTAGGTTGGGTCATATAAAATTGGCCAAGTGTTGATAACTGTTAAAGCTGGTGACAGGCATGTAAGGGTTCATGATACTTTTGTATATGTTTGAGTAAAAGTTTTTGGTTTTTTTTTAACGAGCCGATCAAAAATTGGGAGCAGTGGGGCAGAGAGAAGATCGTGATGGTAAGAGCCAGATAAGATGGAGGCACTGAGCTGGGAGTTTAAAGACCAGAACAAGAACTACTACAACCAAGTCTAAGAGTAGAAGCGCCCAGTGCCTGGATTATCCATAGAAAACTGTCCCAATGTAAACCCTATACTTTTGAAAAGTCACCACATTGAGGCATAAGTTCTGTTCCGTGGATGGATCCCCACAAAACCATGGCAGGCCGGGTGGCTCACCTGAGAAGGATAGAAGTAACAAATGCCAGCTCTTGTTGGGTCGCCTTCTTCCTTTACCTTGGAACCATCGTAGAGGAAGAAGTAATTCCACCTGGCAAGAGAACAGAGCAGAGCTGTTGCCTTTCATCCGGGATCAGCCGAAGGCACGGCTCCCTGTTTCCCAGCCCGAGAGCTCGTTACAGCTCATGACTCGGTATTTGCAAAGCCTCTATGGCCCGGGAGGAAGAAGAACCCAGTGGCGACAAGTAGATAAAACCATTTCTTAAGTGCAGTTGAGTCGAACTAAAAATAGGCCTCTATGCAGCAGTCAAACCATCTGAGAAAGACAGGAAAGACGAGGGCCCACAGTGACGCCTCATACTGGAGACATCGAACTGGACTATGTACTCACATGGTTTGGTAAACTGTCTTTCAAGGCCCTGGCAGCCAAGTAAGTCAGAGCGTCTCAGAAGCACTCCGCACAACTGCTGCGCACAACGATCTCCGAAACAGCCCTTCTAAATGAATCCATAAATTCCTAGAATTCATTTAACAAACATTACTGAGGGCCTAAGTGTGCGCTGGGGCCCGGCGATAGGAGGGAGAAAATAAACCATGTTTCAATGCAGGGAAAACGGGGGCCTTTTAAAGGTCACAGAGACGCACCGGGCCCCTCTCTGCCTACAAAACCTGACGAGGATGAACTCAAACACGACCCCTCATCAAACTGCGGGTGCCCAGAGGAATCCCTCTTCTCAATTTCCATTAACCCTTTGTTCTTCCCTAGTCTTATGGTCTGCTCTGCCATATAATTGTAATAGCCTCTTTAGGATCTCAAGGCAAACTCTACAAAGGCTTCCTGAGTTTTACTTGCAAACCTCTGCAAGCACACAGATCTGGTGAGAGCCTAAGGAGGAGGAGCTGTGATGCTGTCACCTGTGCTCTCCCCACCGGGCCCCCTCCCTCTCACCCTCTCTGGCTCCCAGCTGGTCTTTCTGATGACCAGCACAAACCCAGTTTCTAGTCCCGCCCGCCTTCCTGACTTCCAGATGTGCTACTGGCTTCAGGGCAGGTCCCGATCAGAAAGCCCCCAAGTGTTTCAGACTCAACTCAGAAACCCCACTGCTGGGCCCGTCTGCCCTGGCCTATGTCCTTGGGGTAAAAGCACCCCCTGCTTCCAAGTGCACATAAGAGAACCTGGGGGTGATTTTGAACTGCGCCATCTGTTTGACTTCCCCACATATATCATCAGGCACTAACCCTGCTCAGTCTATTTAAACCAGGCCTTTGGCTTTCATCTCCTCCATTCGTGTTTGCTGAGCCAAATTATGAGAGAGGCTTAACCCATTTGGGGATGCCAAGGGACCGGAGCTGCAGGCAGACATTGTGCAATACCCGGCAACAGCCACACTGAAGACTGGCCAAGCCCTTCTCATGGTGTCATTCTGCAGTGCAACCATTTCTTAGCTTTCAAAAGCGAGGGCTCCAACGCCCACATTATTTTCAAAGCCCGATGCATGATCGGCCACGATTATCTCCTGTACCATCTACCAGCCGCGCCCGACTCGTTGGAACACTGCACGAAGCTGGCAAAGTCACAGCACACCAGCTTTGGTGAGAAACGGCTCACATGTTTGACTCAGCTGCTCTGAAGAAAATGGCTTTTTTCCCCTTAATAAAATCAAGACAGTCTGGCTGGGGTTCAGTTCACCCAAAATACCCGCCCGGCAGCCTGGCAGGAACTTAAACCACAGCAGGCCTTGCTACTCACCAGGAGGCTGACTTCCTCTCTGTTGAGGTGGCCATTTACTTTCAGGTCGCGCTCATGCTCTTTATTTGGATTTTCTCCTCCAGTTGTGGCTTCTTCCTCCCCAGCAGTGACCGCTCCTCTGTGTCCCCGATCCGGTGAGTCCAGATGTGGGAGGTCTTAAGTGTTTTCAGTCACAACTGTCACTTGCTTTGTTTTCATTCAACAGGAAGGTGCCACTTCCCTCTTGGCAAGCCCTTCAGTTCCATGGGTGCCTCCGAGAACCCTGGGAGAGAAGATAATGAAGCCAGAGAATTCTACCAGAAAAGCCAGCTCCGCTAATCTGGTCCCGTGAGCATCAGCTCTCTGCAGAATGGCCCCTTCAGAGACCTCGCCAGGAAAGCGCAATAGGGGAGGTGCATGCTGACGGATGGCGTTCTGGGTGATTCCTAGCTTGTGTGCTTCAAAGCCATTCTGAAGACACTTTTAAACTTTTTGAAGCTTCCCGTTCAAACATCAGTGCCTTAGCCCTAAAATAAACACAAGGAATAGATTATCTCTGAAACCCACAAAAGAGCATGTGACCCAGCGTGGTTAAGCAAATGGTAGACTTCAAAAGAGCTTTCTAGAAAGTTGAAAACAGTTTCAAAGAAAAGAGAGAGAGAGAGGGTAGCAGGACTTCAAACCCTTCAGTTTCTTGAGCAGTGACGTCTCAGGGAAGAGAAAGTTAAATAACTTGGGTGAGGAAGCTCTGGCGTCAAGGGGAGTGTACAGATAAGGCAGTTGCTGTAGTAATAATGGGACTCAAATGAAGGAATTGTCACCGTGACAGCTCAGAAGTAACCCGAACATGCAGAAGTCCAGAGCTGGGCAAGTTTCCAAAAGACGCAGTGAGAATTTAACAAGTGGCTTTCAAACTTGGTCAACTTGGACTATCAGAGGACTGGAGGGTCTGAACGGGCGGACCCTGGCATCATTTACTCTAATCCTTATCTCTTGCACAGTGGGTCAGCGGGCAGGAAAAATCACCTCCACTGGCCCTAACCGGGTAGCTCATTTGGTTACAACGTCACCCCGATACACCAAGGTTTTGGATTCAGTCTCCAGTCAGGGCACATACAAGAGGCAACCAATGAATGCATGAGTGGGTGGAGCAACCGGTCGATGTTTCTTTCTCTCTCTCTCCCTTTCTCTCTCTCTCTCTCTCTCAAAACCAATCAATCAATAAAAAACTACCTGGACTGTCTTTGCTTATTCCTTCCAGAGATAGGGAGTTCACACTGTTAAATGGATCCTTCCACGAAGCTAACCTGGCCTCCCAGGAGCCTCTACACACTGGTCCGCGTAACACCCTGCAGGAAAATTAAACGAGGCCTAACCCCTCCACAAGACAGCCCTTGGTCCATCAAAACTGTATCTCCAAGATGAATGTCCTCAGGGACATGGTTTCAAATGCTCCCTCGCCACCTGTCATCCTTCTGGGAGCGCAGTGGAGTGTTTTAAAGCTCCTCTGATAGAGAGAAGTCCCTTGAGAGGACCCCCCCTCCCCATGGTCTGTACAATCTGTCTTAACTCAGCTCTCAGTATCTTGGGCTGGGCCTGCACAGGTTCCTGCTCATGGCTTCTCTGAAGCGTATCTGGATGCCTGGGGCGAGGCAACTAAGCGCTCGGAACCAAGAACAGCGGCCTGAGACCCCCTTATCGCTTGTTCCCAGGGGACTGGGCCCTCCACTGCCAAGGCCCCCTCTCCTATCTCTGAAAGGTCCAGAAGAGGCCGGAAGTGGCCCCGGGGTGGGGCAGGGGTTGGAATGTGCCCACAGAAGGCTCAGGCAGGAAGTCCAGAGTCGCCCGCTATGACCCGAAGGTGGTGGTGGTGGTGATGGTGTAGGAAGCGGCCTCGGCAGGTCAGCGGGGCAGGAGAGAAGGGCCAGGGAGCGATCGGTTACCGTCCAGGGCCCGGGGAGTGTCTGGCCTCGGTGCCAGGGGGCTGGGAACTGGCTGGCACGGGCACGGGGGCAACCTGGGCCGGGCCAGCGCGCAGGGAGGCCGCGATGAGGCGCTCCTGGCCGCGGCCCCTCCCCTCGGCGCCCCCGCGCTGCCCACCCGCCAGAAGGGCCGGGCAGCCCGAAGATCGGGGCTCGGGGCTCGGGGCTCGGGATCCGGAGTGCGGGCGGCCGCGGGGCGCCAGCGAACCCCCCGACCTCCCCGCCCCCCGTACCTATGCGCGCGGCAGAAAGGCCCCAGGATCACGCGCCGCCAGCACCTCCCGCCCCCTACAGGTCCCCGCGGCGCCGGCGCGCGAAGATGACGTAGCCCGGGAGCGCCGCGCGCCCGTGACGTCAGAGGCCCATGGCGGCGGCGGCGCTGGAGCCCTGGCGGGCCGCGGCTCCGCGGAGAAGGCGCTCAGCGGCTCGGCGTCCGCGGACGAGGCCGGCGGCGGCGGCCGGAGACCCGGAGCCGGATCCCGAGGTGGATGACGGAGTCGTGCTTCGTCGCGTCCGGGAGGCCAGGTGCGTGGCGGGTCTGAACCTTCGCGCCGAGCCGCAGTCTCGCCAGGTGTCAGTGGGAGTAAGTGCAGCCCTTGAGGAGGCCGTTTGTGAGGGTTTAGCGGAGGCCAAGAGCTCCTCCCGGGCCGGAGCGCAGTGAGCGCTGGGATGGCAGTCACCGCGGGTCACCCTGGGCAGCTGGGTCACGTCTGTGCCTCCGTCTGCTCATCTGGGAGGTGGGCGTGAAGAGTTAGTTACCGCTAGAGCGGCGGTTCGCAACCTGTGGGTCGCGACCCCTTTGGGGTCGAACTTTCCTTTCACAGGGGTCGCCTAAGACCATCGGAAAACACATGTATAATGACATATTGTTTTTGTGATTCATCACCATGCTTTAATTATGTTCAATTTGTAACAATGAAAATACATCCTGCATATCAGATATTTACATGACGATTCATAACAGTAGCAAAATGACAGTGATGAAGTAGCCACGAAAATGATTTTATGGTTGGGGGTCACCACAACATGAGGAACTGCATTAAAGGGTCGCGGCGTTAGGGAGGTTGAGAACCACTGTTCTAGAGGCTTGTTTTGAGGGTTCGGTGGGTTAGTAAATGGAGTGTTTGTGGTGTCACTGTTACGCTGATGGTGGTTATTGTTGGCTATTGTTGGTTATTGTTGGTTATTGTTGGCTATTGTTGGTTATTGTTGGCTATTGGTGGCTATTGATGGCTATTGGTGGTTATTGTTGGCTATTGTTGGTGTTGCTAATGCCGGGGAAGCAACACGAACACAGGATTGTGATTTTCATGATGATCATCATCAGGTAATTGAGCTGCTTTGTGCCCGGCACTCGGTTAAGCATTTTATCAATTTGAACATCTCAGCCACCGGGATCCTGGGGGCAGCTGGTCTTACGGAGACATAGGTAATGCCTGGAACCAAATTGCAACCCCAGGGCTTTGCGACTCCAAACCCTGTGCCTCAGAGCGCCCCACTGTTGTGGTTCCCCCATTCCCCACCCCACGCCTCGCTCGCTACCTCAGGTAGCACTTAGCATAGTGCCCAATAGAGGAAACACCCCGTAAACATCGCCTGCTTCTGTTCTTTTGTATTTTTGCCTTTTTCGTTTGTGGTCCTTTACGGGCTCAGTAAATAACAGCTTTCGTTAGCATTGCCTTCGATAACAGCTGCAGGATCATCACAACTGAAAGAAATTAGACTCATTTCAGCTGCTCCCCTCCCCCAGATTTAGGGTCAGGAGGCGGTGGTGACTCAGGTTCCCACTAAAGAGAAAGAAGTGGGCTGAGCAGCTATGGAGCCTGAGAGAGAAAGCCGCAGTGCCCGGGCCGGTGGCTGGGTGGGTGGGAGGGTCATCGTACAGCAAAACGGCTGCGGGTTCAATTCCCTGCCAGGCTCCTAGCTAGGTTGCAGATTGGGTCTACGGGAGGCAGCTGGTCACTGTTTCTCTCCTCTCAAAAAAAAAAAATCAATAAAAAGTAAATCCTCAGGTAAGGGTTTTGTTTACAAAGCAGCAGTGACTGTTTCTAGGATCTGAGGAAGCGGATGGAATGAGTGTGCCTAGGGGTTTGGAGATCGCTTAAGGCAGTTTGCATATACCCTCCTCCTCCTCCTCAGCTCTTCAGTATCCGCCCCCCCCCCCAGCTCCCTGCCTCCACCTGCACCCCAGGTACAGTGCACTCCCTCCCCTGATGGAGAGGAGCCCCTCACTGAGCTGTTCCCCTGTGCGTGCTAGCTCCCCTTTGCCTTGTGAGGAACACGAGGGCAGTCTCCGGACAGGTGTTTTTTCAATTCTGTCTGTTCTCTGAGCCCCCTGAACAGTGGCTTATGGCCTGTCAGTTCAAATCCAACTCATTGTTTTTAACCCTTTTTTCCTTGTGATGAGAACCTTTAAAATCTCCCTTATCCATTGTCCAGTGTGCAGTGCAGTATGAACCACCGTCATGCTGTGCTTACCTCTCCATCACATTTACTTTGTAACCCCCACCCTCCTCCTGCCTCTGGCAGCCACCAGTCTGTTCTCTCTCTCTGAGCTCAGTGTTTTTTGTACAGTGGGGCCTTGACTTACGAGTTTAATTCCTTCCAAGACGGAGCTCGTTAAGGAGCTCGTTAACTCAAATTACTCTATCAACTCAATGCAAAAAAATCCGGCGAGAGACAGCTGGTATCTCAAAAAACCAGTTAGTCGGGACACTCGTAAGTCAAGGTCCCACTGTATTTGTTTTTTAGATTCCACATATACGTGAAATCAAACAGTATGATTTTCTCTGTATGACTCACTTACTTAGCATAATACCCTCAGGGAACATCCACGTTGTCACAGATGGCAAGATGTTATTCTTTTTTATGGCCACATCTTTTTTTTTTTTGCCACATCTTGATCCATTTTCCATCAAGGGACACGTATGTAGGTTGTTTTCAGATTTTAGCTATTGTAAGCAATGCTGCAGTGAGCGTGGGGGTGCAGATGTCTTTTTGAATGAGTGTTTTTGCTTTCTTTGGATAAATACCCAGAGGTGGGATTGCTGGATCGTGTGATAGTTCTATTTTCAATTGTGTGAGAAACCTCCGTAGTGTTGCACATTGTCACCGCACCAGTTTACATTCCCACCAACAGTGCACACGGGCTCCCTTTCCTCCATATCCTTGCTAACCAACACTAGTTATTTCCTGTCTTATTCTAACGGGTGTGAGGTGGTATCTCATTGTGGTTTTGATTTGCATTTGACTCATGATGTTGAGCGTCTTTTCACGTACCCGTTGGCCATTTGCGTGTCTTTGGGAAAATGTTCAGATACTCTGTGTTTTTGTTAAGTTGTATGAAGTCTTTACATATGTTGGATCTTAATAAGTATAATTTGCAAATATCTTCTCCCATTCGTTGCTGCCTTTTTGTTTTGTGGATGGGTTTGTGGTTTTTTTGTTTGTTTTTTTGTTGTGCAGAAGCTTTTTAGTTTGATGTAGTCCCATTTGTTAATTTCTTTTTCTTTTACTTACTTTGCCTTTGGAGTCAAATTCACAAAAAAGACCTCAGACCAATGTCGAGAAACTGGTGTCAATGTTCTCTTCTATGTATTTTACTTTTTTCGGGTTCTGTATTCAAATATTTAGTTCATTTGAGTTCATTTTTGTGTATGGTGTAAGATAGTGGCCTAGTTTCATTTTTTTTTGCATATGGTTGTCCAGTTTTATCATCAGCATTTATTGAAAAGACTTTCTTCATTGTATAGTCTTGGCTCCTTTGTGATAAATTAGTGCCCATATGTGGGTGGGTTTGTTTCTAGGCTCTCAATTCTGTTCCGTTAGTCTATGTGTTTATTTTTCTGCCAATACCATACTGTTTTGATTATCTAGCTTTGTAGTATAGTTTCAGATCGGGGAGTGTGATACCTTCGGCTTTGTATCTTTTTCTCAGGATTGCTTTGTCTTTTTGGTTTCTTTTGTGGCTCCATGCAAATTTAAGGATTATTTATTTTATTTTTGTGAAAAATGCCATTGGAATTTTGATGGGATTAGCTTGGATCTGTAGATTGCCTTTGGTAATACAGACATTTTAACAATGTTAATTCTTCCAATCTGTGAACATGCAATACCTTTCCATCTCTGCATCTTCAGTTTCTTTCCACAGCGTCTTACGGTTTTCAGTGTACAGGCCTTTACCTTCTTTGTTAAGTTTATTTCTTGGTACTTTATTCTTTTTGTTGCGATTACAAGTGGAATTGTTTTCTTCGTTTCTCTTTCTGATATGTCATTGTTAGTATACAGAAACTAACAGATTTTTGCATATTTTTGTATCCTGCAACTTTACTGAGTTCGTGTATTAGTTTTTTGGTGGCGTCTTTAGGATTTTATATATAAATATCATGTCGTCTGCAAATAGTGATAGTTTTAATTCCAATTTGGATGTCTTTTATTTTTATTTTTTTCTTGCCTAATTGCTAAGACTTTCAGTACTGTGTTGAAAAACATTGGGTATCCTGGCCTTACTCCTTATCTTAGAGGAAAAGCTTTGAGTTTTTCTTTATTGAGTACGATGCTAGGTGGGGGTTGTCATATGTAGCGTATTATGTTAAGATGCTTTCTTTCCATAGCCATTTTTAATGAGTTTTCAATCATAATTGCATGTTGTACCCTGTCAGATGTTTTTTCTGCACCTGTAGAGATCGTCATATGATTTATTTTATGTCTTATTAGTGTGGTGTATCAGGTTCATTGATTTTTGGATGTCGAACCATCATTGCATCCCTGGCATGAATTCCACTTGGACATGGTGTGTGACCCTTTTGATGTGTTGTTGTACTTGATTTACTAGTATTTTATTTAGGATTTTTGCATATACAGGATGTTCTTTAAAGATATTGGCCTGTAATTGTGTGTGTGTGTGTGTGTGTTGACCTTGCCTGGTTCTAGTATCAGGGTAATGCTGGCCTCATAAAATAAGTTAGGAAGCACTCCCTCTTCAGTTTTTTGGGAAAAAGTTTGAGGAGAAGAGGTATTCAATCTTCTTTGCATGTTCGATAGACTTCACCAGCGAAGCCAGCTGATCCTGGAATTTTGTTTGTTGCCAGGTGTTTGATTTCTGTTTCAAGTTCCTTACGAGTGATCAGTTTGTTCAGGTTTTCCAGTTTTTCATGATTCAGTTTAGGAAGGTTGTATGCTTTACAAATCTGTTAATTTCTTATAGTTGGTTCAGTTTGTTGGCATATAATTGTTGGTAGTAGTCTCTTTGATGCTTTATATTTCTGTGGTGTGTTTTAATATCTCTGGGTGTATTTCATTTACTTAGGCTCTCATCCAGTGGTTCTCAACCTTCTGGCCCTTTAAATACAGTTCCTCACGTTGTGACCCAACCATAAAATTATTTTCGTTGCTACTTCATCACTGTAATGTTGCTACTGTTATGAATCGTCATGTAAATATCTGATATGCAGGATGGTCTTAGGCGACCCCTGTGAAAGGGTCGTTCGACCGCCAAAGGGGTCGTGACCCACAGGTTGAGAACCGCTGCTCTAATCTTTGTTATTTCCTTTACTAACTTCGGCTTAGCTTTTCCTTCTATTTCTAGTTCCTGGAGATGTAAAGTTGTTTATTTGAGACGTCCCCTTTCCCCAAACATTTATTTAATGCGTACTCTGTAAAAGCACGTTGTTAATACGTAAAGAAAATGTCTTTATGCTCTAGCTGGTTTGGCTCAGTGGGTAGTGTCAGCCTGCGGACTGAAGGGTCCCGGGTTTGATTCCCAGTCAGGGCACATGCCCGGGTTGCGGGCTCGATCCCCAGTGTGGGGCCTCCTCCAGGAAGCCCTCTGTGCTGCTCTCTCTGAGCCCCAGCAGTAAGTGCGTGCTCTGGCTCTGCCATGTTCACCGTGTCGCCTCCTCCTGTCACTCAGGGTGGGCTCTGCGTCTGAGGGCGCTCCATCCTGCTCCCCACATCGAAGCTATGGACAGGGGGGGTCACTGTCAGGGCCGCCCTGAGGAGAATGGGGATGATCTCGCCGTTTTTCTCAACAGGGAAGACCTGCGCGTTTCTGACTTCTGGAGCTCAGCGCTGGGTGAGTACCTCGCCACGGCTGGGGGTGGGGGGGTGGGAGGGGCCTGAATATGGGCAGAGAAAGGAATCCCACCTGCATTTGATGACGTTTTGCTTAAGGGGGTGTACATGTGGGCTCTAATTCCGACTTCCGCCTTACAGCTGCGTGCTTTTGGCTCTTAACTAACTGGCCCTAAGTTTCTTCTGTGCGATGGAGATGAAATGCCTGTCCTGGAGGGTAATTTCGCCTCTTAGTGAGGCTGTCCGGGTGCTTAGATGGTGCGTGCCTGCTGCGCAGGGGTCAGTGACCGTGAGCTGTCATTATCATTGTTGCTGAGATGGTTATCCTGCTCTCTTTCCTTGAGATACAATGTGGACCCCCCCCCCCCCCCCGCGGTTATACTGTCTTCCTAAACATTATGTGTGGGAGCATAAACAGTACATGGAGTGGGCCTAACAGTAGTCGTACGGTAGTTACCCTTCTTATTGAGGGGCATTTGCTTTGTGTCCTTTGTTTTTTAATTATAAGTTTGCAATGAGCACCTTTCTGCATTGAGCTTTTACCAAGTTTGTTGATGTTCTTGGGATATATTCCCAGAAAGGAAAAGAGTCAGTGAAAGGCAGTGACCAACTCGATATCCACTGTCTGGCGGTTTTCCAAAAAGCTTTTCCCACTTCTTTCACAGCAGGGACTGAAAGGGCCAGTTTTTCATGCGACCTTTCCTTCTTGTGGGAATGGCCAGCTTGTTGCTTGTTGTTTTGTTTTGCATCCAGATTTGTGCAAATAAATTCAGTACCAGAATCACAAAGGAGAGACCAGAGCACCCACCTCCACATGAGGTTTAAAGAGAGTAGTTTTTGTTAGACTCCAGAAGCCCAGCCTACCTTTTTTAAAAAATATGTTTTTATTGCTCTTTAGAGAGAGAGGAAGTGAGAGGGATCGAGAAATAGAAACATCGATGAGAGAGAAACATTGATAGGCTGCCTCCAGTACAGCCCCTACTGGGGATCGAGCCTGCAACCCCAGCATGTCCCTGGCTGGGAATTGAACCAGTGACCTCTTGGATTGGGTTGCTGCCCAATCACTGAACCACACCTTTTTTACACACTAAATATTCTTACTCCGGCCGTGTATAGTGTGATATTAAGAGCTCTGCTCCTCGTTCTTTGTTATAATAAAAAAAAGCTGGCATTTCAAGGCATAACCTGAGTTTACCAGGGACCTCCTGTTAAACTAGAATGAGTTAGATAGAAACCGCGCCCGTACATGCAAACGATTGCTTCGCAAGCCCTTCTCTGAGGTGTGGGCTGCGGGGGTCCGGGGACCCGGACAGCCAGCCTGTCAGCTCCGGGGGACCCGGGGGCGCGTCCCAGGATGCTGGGAGCGGAGCAGCAGCCCCTCTCTGAGGAGGTGACGCCGCCGCCGCCGTGCTCCTTGCTCCCTGGCCTGTGGGCAGCTCTGGTGGCTGATGGGGTGCACAGGGTCACTCTGACTGTACGTGGGGGCCCGCTCTTTCAGAAACCATCAGCACATGCCTTAAGAAACATCTGGAACAGCTGGATGCCCCTGTGGGGGCTCTTTCGGAAGCCATTGGAAGCCTGCACCTAGACTCCTCACCAGGTGACTCGGGGGCGGCTCCGGGCTCCATCCCGGGAGAGACCCCCGTCCCGGGGACCGGCGGCTGGAAGTGTGTGTGCTACGGCGTTGGGAGCTTTGCCACCTGCGCCATCGCTAGAAGCCAGCTCGCCTTCTTGCTTCTCTTCCTGGAAAAGTGCCAGGTACATTTTGGACTCTCTTTACCACCCCTCTCCTGGTCTTGCCCACGTGCACACAGGCATGAGGTGGCAATAACTCCCTCCCTCCTGCAGATTCCCAGAAGTCACTGCTGGGTGTATGACCCTCTGTTTAGCCAACTGGAAATTGCAGTCCTTACCACCCTGGGGGTGACTGTCCTCGGTGAGAACGAGGTGAGTGGCTTAGGAAAGGGGAGCGTGGAGCTAGGGGGACTGCTGACCCGCGGAGCCCAGGCTCTGACCCGTGATGCGATTTTTTTTTTTTTTGAAACGGCAGCCCCTCCTCTCTGTTGCTTTCCCGGTGCCTGTGCGTGTGACTAGTTACCCACGCTTTGACTGTTGTGCCCATCAGAGAAAAGTAAATTACACAAATGGCGTGAACCAGAACGTTAGGTTCATAAAATTTTCGACGAGTGTGTGTCCAGGAATTATGCTAGATTGGTACTTACTGTTGTTATTGAAATATTAAAAGGACACACAATCTCAGTGCCTCAAATGTGGGTTTTCTGGTTGGACTTGACCCTATTCCCAGGGAGGCAATAAAAGGGGACAGAACGGCTCCCTTCTTTGGAGCTGTAGTCAGCCATTCCTACGGCACCTGGCTGAGCTGTGGATGAAGCTTCTGTCCCCCCGGCACCCCCTAAAATCGTTGGGGTTCGAAAGTTCATGAGGCCTGGAAAAAGGAAATTTCCCGCTCAAGGCAAATACCTCTGAGTTTCATTTTGTATTGTCTTGGGGGTTATAAAATAATCATTTGATTCCTCTCTGTTTTGAGAAACTGCCATCTCATTGCTTACGATGAAAATGAGGCCCAGCTGAAACAAGGACTCGTTTGCCGATGTTGGCAAGCTCCTAAAACACGGCCATTTAATACAGATCAGCTTTTCTGAGTGCCTGCTCTGCTGGGCAAGGAGCTCTGGGAGGCCGTGACAAACAGGAGCCAGAAACTGTCTTCAGGGAGCCCCCGGCCACATGAAGGCATGCGGCCTGCAGACAAGTAAATGACGAGTCAGACAGGCAGGCAGACCCGCGTGCTAGGAACTGAGATCGGAAGGAGACCCGCTCTCTTTGGGGGATGGAGGGAGCTTCCTGGGGCTTGAGCTGGGATTTGTGGGTCAGCCACGAGTTTGCTGGGGGACAGGCCCAGGGCTGCAGCCACAAGTTTGCTGGGGGACAGGCTCAGGGCTGCAGGCAGGAGTTTGCTGGGGGACAGTCACTGTTGCCACCCTCACACCCCTGCTCTCATGGACCCAAGAGGCCCTGTTGTTGAGCCAGAGGCTCTGTTTGTGGGACACATTGTTAACTTCATTCTTCCGTTCGCTTTCCTCTCAGCTCATTTTTTCCTGAGCTGTGTTGCTGTAACCGACATACAGCATTTTAAGTTTAAGGTGCACAATGTGACACCCGTATACTGCAAGCTGATGACACAATAAGGTTAGCTAACACCTCCATCACGTAACCACGTTTCTGTGTGTGTGTGTGTGAGGATCCTCAGCTTGTTAGTCTGTCCTGGCCTCGCCCTCCCGTGTGAGAAGTGGTTACATCTGGGCGTGTTCACCCAGGAAGGAAAGCGGAGTGTGCGTGGCGAGCCCACCGTCTTTTACATGCTGCACTGCGGGACGGCCCTGTACAACAACCTTCTGTGGAGCAACTGGTCCGCTGACGCCCTTTCCAAGATGGTCATCATCGGGAACAGCTTCAGAGGCCTGGAGGAAAGGTAAGCCGAGGTCTGCCAGGCCCCGGGGCGGCCGTCCTCAGAGTGACCCGCAAGCAGAACACGTGTCCATGGCTGGTCCTCGGAAAAGGACCAAGAAACTGGACGGAGGGCCAGAGAAGCTGTCACCGAGTCAAGCTGTGAAGCAAGCGAAGGAGTCTTTGCCAGGAGCCCCTCCCTTCCCTCAGGCTGGCAGGACTTAACGGGAGGAGCCACTAGGTTTCTATGTCGCCCTCCTGTTCCCTTGAGGATGTTCACATTTCCTGCAGGATACTTTCTCTACACCCGTTTTTACATTCTTACCATATTTAAGTCACCTTGCCTTGCTGTATGCCTTCAGCTGGATAAAACCACTCTCGTACCGCCTAATCCTGCTTTAAAAACCTTTTTATTTATAGGTTGTTGACAAGGATTCTGCAGAAAAACTATGCCTATGTTGCAAAGGTACCGTCTGAGGGGCGGGATGGGGACGGGCGTGAGTCCGCCACTGGGGAGTCTGCCCTTACGCGTGCAGGCGGGGCTGGTGGGGCTAAGGCAGGCAGAGCGGGGCTCACCGTGCCTATCGAGGTACATGCTTGACTTGGATTTTCTGCTCAGGTTTTAGAAGGACTGGAGGAGCAGGCGTTTCCCCAGACGGCACAGTACTTGGACGTGTTTAATGACATCTCTGTGCACTGGTTCCCAGTCCAGAAGCTAAAGCAGCTCCCCATGGACACGTGGGCATCTCGGGAAGAGCCAGATTACCGGGACTGCGAGGACCTCGAGATCATCAGGAACCAGGCAGGTGCCTCAGCTACCGGCCCAACTGGCTGTGATGTAGGAAGTGCTGGCGGAGGCAGCCGCGCCGGCGGGACCAGAGTGGGGGCGCTGCGGGGACACTGTCCTCCCAGGGCCAGTTCCGGAGAGAACAGGAAGCCCTCAGCCTGGCTCTCGAGGGGAGAGGAGATGTGCTGTGGAAGGACTTGGTGTCCCTCACATCCCTTATCGCCCTTCCTCGGGGGCCTGGCTGGTGGGGAGAACCTACTGAATAGAGAAGCGACTCTTTCAAAGATGGTTCAAAAGGTTTAGTCAGACATGTGAGCAGCCGCCCCGGCCACCGCCTACTTGGCCATGTCGATCAGGCTCTGCAGGGAGGTGGGCACCCAGGTCTTCTCGCCCTGGACGAACACCACGCCCCGGTCGATGTAGATGACGATGCGGCCGAAGGTGTAGAGCTGCTTCCCTTCGTGTCGCTTCCCGATGACAGGCATGAAGACGATGTTGTGCTCCTCGGCCTTGGTCTCAATGAGGTCCTTAAAGTTCATGGGCACGGAGCTGGCGGCCACGCCGATGCCCCTCTGGGCCATGTTCTCGGCCTCCCGCCGCTCCTGCATGGCCTCGTACTGGAAGTCCTTCCTCCGCTCCGTGTGGGTGAGGTAGGCGATGTTTTCCCGTGCCCCGGGCTGCATGTAGGCACCTGGGAGACAGGGCAGGGGTGAGGAGAGGCTGCGATGGGCCATCTCCGTGAACCTACTGTTCCTCACTGAGCGGCAGCTGTGCCTCAGACACAAAACACTGAGAGACGGCCCAGCACCTGCACACCTGGCTGCGATCACATAGGAATTGGGCTGGCGATTTCTGGCAAATTCCTAGTGGCCAGATTCTGTTCCCATCTTGCCTGGGAGTTTTCACTCCACACTGCCAAAGAGGCAGCCGGCAGAACCCTGAAAACATAGTCACGTTTACCCATACAGGCCTCTGGCCCTGGAAGAACTTTTGAGGTATGTGGGGAGCTGAAACAAGGATAATACAGGACCATAAGCGCCCACTGCTAAGGGACGGGTACAGATGGAGAGTTCTAGGGGCCAGGAGGCTGAAGGTAGGGTCTAGAGCAGTGATGGCGAACCTGTGACACGCAAACTCATTTTTTTGGTTGATTTTTTTTAAGTGGCATTTAAATATATAAAATATCAAAAAATTTCTATATGTGACACGGCACCAGAGTTAAGTTAGGGTTTTTCAAAATGCTGACATGCCGAGCTCAAAAGGCTCACCATCACTGGTCTAGAGTATGAAAATGGAGGTACCCCCTGAGGGACCTGGACAAGTAGAGAGAAAGAAGTGTATTTCCCCACTAAGTACATTGTGATTAAGTAATCTGTGAACTCTGTTCTCATGTGTCACAGCTGCCACTCCTAAGCGGTGTGACCCTGAAGAAGCTCTTGGCCTTATCGATCTTGTCTGTAAAACAGGTTAGAACAGATGCTTTGAGGGGCTCACCTAGACCTGAGCAATAGGGGAATAGATACTAAGTGAACAGTCAGCTGCCCACTTCTGGCACAGCAGACACCTACCGAGTGCTGTCTACACCACTCCCAGTAACAACCCCTCTAGGTTTTTAGTAAAACCTACAAGGCAGGTGTTGTTACTGTTTACAGGTAAAGAATATGGTCTTAGACAGCGGTTGCCACCAGTGGCCCACGAGGTCCAAGAGATTGGCAACCGCTGGTCTAAGAGTCAGACTGAGCCCTGACTACGCTGTGAGCTTACACTTAAGTAGCACACCCAACGCTGGCTGAGCAGGCGCACGAATGAACCTTAAAAGGCACACAGTATAGTGGGTATGAAGGTAGGCCCTGGAGGTAGACCCAGTGTGAATCTGCTTAAATCTGTCTCCATTCAGAGAGAGGTGCCCCTCCCGGTCGCAGGAGAGCTGGTGGCTGAGTCGGGGTCTGCTGGAGTGGAGAGTGGAGGGTGAGTTACACTGTAGTCAGCCCCCAGGGACCTGAAGACCCTGTTCTGTCTCTTACATGTGCAGAAACATGGAGCCCACGGCCAGGACATCCCTCACAGAACCCCCACTCACCGACGTTGGAGGACACCGCCCTGTTCATGATGTCCAGCGCTTCGTTGAACTTGTCCTTGATGGACGGGTGCGCCAGCACTTGGTCTGAGAACATGGACTTCCAGCCCAAGTACCACTTGGTGATCTCCTCGTAATTGGGGCTGTTACTGAGCCAGGAGCACAGCACCTGCCAGAAACGAACAAGTAAGAAACTTGCATCCAAAGTGGCAACAAATGGGAGCCAAACATCTAAAGGGGCCCTTTGCTGTTACTCCTGGTCCTACAGGCCGGTGCCGCTGATGGGGCCGAAAGCCAGGCCCTCAGGAGTGTGGGCTGTGCCTTGCAGGTAAACTGAGCCTCCGCCTCCTGTGCGGACAACAGGGATGCCAGTCCCTGCCCCAAATATGCAAATAAAGTGCTCAGAGCGTCTGGCACCTGGTCATAAATGGCGGGCACTGGTATTGCTTCGCTCGTTCCTGTCCGGCCGTGTAGCTCATTTTTGTTGCGCAGTCACAGCACTGCCTCCAACAGCCACCCCTTACCCCCCCCCCAGCAAAGCAAAACAAGGCACCTGAAGCCACTTGGGGAAGAAGTGCTTTTCCAGGAGCCCCACCAGGCTGGAGACGGAGATCATCCCTTCCCAGTCGATGACCCAGTAGAAGGCATCCATGTGCTGCTGGTGGGGGTTGATGACCAGCTCCCCGAGGCACATGCCTGCAAGGGAAAGAAAGCCAGGCTCTGAGAGAAGCTTCGCCTGAGGGGCTAGTGTGTGGTTGGCCTTTAAAGGTCATTTTCTTCTCTAGCCCAGAATCAAATCCCATGACAATTCCAGGACGCCGATGGCTATCCTGTTGCCAGAAGCCTAGACCAGTCTGACATGGTCACCACAGCCTTAAGGGCTCATTTATATTCAGCCTCAGTGCACAGAACAGCACCTCTGTTACGGTGAGAGGCCCATGTGCTAATGCGGCTCCAAGGCCTTATTCTGAGAAGCACAACCACTAAACTGGCCCAGAGAAACCAAGGCCAAAGCCGCTGGCCTAGATGCTTCCCCACGTCCTTACCCAGCTTGGGCACGATGTTCTTGACCATGAAGGCCTCCCAGGAGCCCGGGGTGAAGACGTCTTTCCAGGGCTGGAGGATGAGCTTGGCAGAGGAGTCACTGGGGTGCCACTTCTGCAGGGCGCTGGACAGCTTGCTGCGGATGGGGGAGTAGAGCGGCTCCAGGCGCGCCTGCATGAGGGGCAGCCATGGGTGGATCCAGGAGTGGATGGGCACGGTGTCCGTGAGTGGGTTCCAGTTCTCCACCTGCAGGAGGAGTGGGGGAAACAGCGACTGTGGGGGATCAAACGATGCCCTGGGGGTTCATGGCAAGGACGCCAGGTGCTCTCTTGGCCAAGGTCCAGCCCTTTGCATGTGTGTGGGACACATTTGGTACTAAGGCAGCCAGATAAAAATATTCCCAAGCAATTGTATTACAGCTCAGAAATGGCAGCTTTCACTTTAAGAAACCAAGTTAATTCCCTGTTAATGGGGCTGTGGGGAGACAGGTGCTGCTACAACGGCTGGAGTTACCGGGGCAGCACTGGCTCCCCACGAGGGCGTTCCTGGGCTCCAGGCCTACCTCCTTCTGCAGCTTGGGGAAGACGAGCTGGTCCAGGATGTTGTCCAGCACCCACACGGGGATGATGTGCACCCAGCTGTCCAGGAAGTCCACCATGGGCTCACAGTTCCGGGGTTGCCACTGGGTGACGATATTTCGAACAAAAGGCATCCAGACTTCCCATATCAGCCTGTGAGAGAGACAGGGCAGGTTGCTAACGGCGCCGTCTGGGTGTGCAAGGTGCACCACACCCACTTCTCTAGAGTAAGAAAGGGCAGCGGCATGGACATCGGGCAGAGAACCACCAGGCCGGGCCCCACGCTGGTCACACCTGTGCCTGCCGCCTCTTTCCTGGCTGCCCGCCCAGCCTCGGGACCTTATTGGCAGCACCTACTGGCAGGGTTGCTGCAGGGTCACACAGGCTCATGGCCCCACACACAGCCCCTCGCAAGATGTCGTGAGCTTTTCCACCCAGAGCTCTGCACAGCAGACACCTCTCCCTCACTCTTTGGTTACAGATTAAATGCCCCCCTGAGCCTCTGCCTCAAACCTCCCCCCAGAGGCATACACCTTCCTTTCCTCTGCCACTGGGTTTATGCGTTCATTCTATCCACTACCTGCCTTTTCCAGTTGCCATAGGAACTGTAAGGCTGGCTGCTTTACTCCCAAGGTCAGCCTGGCACACGCGTGACCCTCAGACACTCGACAAGTGTCAGATGAAGTAATGAACGAGGACCGGCGCTCCCCCCCGCCCCCCCAGCAGATAGCAGCCTGTCCCGTCCGCCGCCGGCTGACCTGTGAAAGGCGTCTGCCGAGAGGTCCTGGCCGCCGTGCGACAGGAGCTGGTCGTTCTCCAGGAGGCTCTTCCACTTGGAGATGATCTCGGTGCCGTAGGTGCAGTCCTGGGGGGAGGAGAGCAGCTGAGAGCCTGCCTCTGGCAGCTCCCCCCCCGCCCCCCCCCAACAGTGTCAGGGCCGACTTCCCCGACCACTCACTTTGAGGGGGTCCCACTCCTTGAAGTACTCCTTCATGAGCGGGTAGACGATGGCCACGGCCAGGTCCACGCGGTCGGACATGCGGTACTCCTCGTAGTACTTGTCCTGCAGGGTCTCGAAGATGCGGGCGCACTCGTCCAGGGTGAGCGGGTGGCTGCAGCCGGGCTGCATGCGCCGCTCGCACTCCTCCACCAGCTCCAGGACTTGGCTGAGGTTGGAGATGGCCCGCTCCTCGTGGTCCAGCACCTCCGACATCTTCTCCAGCTCGTGCGAGAGGTTCACCACCATGTCCCGCTCGTACTGCAGCTGCCGGTCGTTCTGGATGATCTCCTGCTCCGTGAGGTCGATGAGCAGCTGCAGGTTGTGCTCCAGCTCCGGCAGCGCGAAGCCCGGGGCCTTGGCCTCCTTGCCGGACAGTGGCAGCTGCTGGGACTGCGGCGGCAGCCCGTCGTCGGGGATGTTGTGCTTGTGGCTGATCTGGCTGTAGCTGTAGTAGACCTTCTGCTCCCGGCCCGTCATGTCTATGACCTTGGAGAGGGCAGAGGAACAGGTTAGCACTTGCCACTGCTGCCTATGGAACAGACACAAGGCCGAAGACGCGCTGCGAGGGGAAAGGTGTAGGGCCCGCTGTTGAGCACAGCTGTGGGGCGGTGGGCCTGTGCCACCTAGCTGCGAGGGGGAAGCGACGTGTAAAATGCCATCTGTTCTCAAAAGGACATTCAATGCTGTTCTGCCCCGAGGGCCCCTGAACCCTTCCCGGTGTTAAGAGCCTTAAAGACCGGCCTGTTCTCTACCTGATTGTACTCTGAGAATCTATCCTTAAAAATGAAACAGACACGGCTTTAGGTGCACACCAGCTTGTCTAAAAGCCAGGAAACGGCTACAGGTCTAGCAGGAAGGGGACCAGTCACAGCACAGCCGTCTCTGGACTGTGCACGCAGTGAAGACGCCACACGGAGTCTAACCCTTCACTGCTGTGAGCTTCAGCAGAGGCGGGTGTGCGGCTCACACACGGGTGCTGGGCACACGGCAGGAACCAGGTGACTTACTGACCGTGTCGTGTGAGCACAGTGAAGGGACAGGCTGCTATCCAGCGAGAAAAGCAGGATGAACAAAACCAAACCCGGCCAGGAGCCCGGAAGGGGCCTCAGGAGCCCCGGCGCTGGCCTCTGGCTGTGGCGTCCTTCTTGTTCCCAGCGCCCCAGCCTGGCCCGGAGTCCGAGGCCACGTACCTTGACCTGCGAAAGCTCCTTCTGGGGAGCCGTGAGCTTCTTGCTGGTCCTGCCCTTGGCCTTCAGCTCCTCCACCGTCTTGTAGGAGTACTTGGGCTTCTTCTTGCTCCCGCTGGGGTCCTTCCTCCACTGGCTCAGCTCCTTCTGAAACTCCTGAACGAGAGGGTGCATCCGTCACACCAGAAGGTCCCCTTCTGACGGCAGGTGGGGGCCCCTCCCTTCGACCTTCACAAGGTCATGCTAGGATTGTGCCTGTGTGACACTAAACCCTAATGATACTCGACACCCGCTCCCCCTCTTACAAACAGTGGGGTTCAGAAGGCAGGTACACTGATTGGAAAGAGAAACAAAAATAAAGACGTTTCCTGATCGTCTAGGATGGCAGGCACTGCTGGTTCTAAGTCTGCCTCACGTAAAACGTAGAAAACAGCATCAGGGACTTAAGTACACAGACCCTGGTTCTAACCAAGTGCAGGCAAACCACTGGCCCCTCGGCTTCGGGCAAAGCCTCTCACAGCAGGGTCTGCGGAGCCTGGAGGAAGGTGTACAGGACAGGCGGGAGCTTGGTCTGAGGGTCGTGGAGTCCGGCCCCCAGCAGTGGGCTGTGTTTGTCACTTGTTTTTCTCACAGTGTTAGTTTAAGACTTGTAGCCGGCAGGCGTGGCTCAGTGGTTGAGCATCCACCTAGGACCCAGGAGGTCACAGTTTGATTCCCGGTCAGGGCACATGCCTGGGTATATGTGGGGGTGCTCCATACCAGTGTGGGGTGTGCAGGAGGCAGCCAATCAATGATTCTCTCATCCTTGATGTTTCTATCTCTCTCTGTCTCTCCCTTCCTCCCTGAAATCAATAAAAATATATTTTAAAAAGTGGTAATTTTTTTCTCAAAAAGAAGATAATCTGGACATCTACTTTGGGGAAATCAGAAAAATCAGGCAACACTGAGCCCACATTCCAATAATCGCCTAGAGCTGGGTAGACACTACCCTCTATACGGGCTATGCCCTGGCCTGTCTGCCTCAGGCCCTGCCACACACCTGCTCACCTACATCACTGATGCCGCATGCCTGGCACCTGTTAGCGTCTAAGTCTCAGACCTCCTGGCTCAGTCGTCAGCCCACTATCAAGGAGGGGCCAATGACAAGAATAATGACGTGTGTCTGTGTGGCATCCTGCTTCCCCCATAAATGCAGAGGAGGAAAAAGTAACTTATCCATCAAGAGAGCTGGCCCCTTCTGTCGCTGAAGCAAAGCGATGCCCAGCTGGCAGGTGCCCCTGCTGCACGTGGGAGGAGAACCCAGCACCTGACGTGGCTTCGAGGCGTACGGCATGGGCCTCCCACCGCCATGCACGCCCCTCCCTGCTCCCGGTGCTGCCATCCTGCACGCCTCCTGAGGTCTCCACTGTCAGGCTCCGAGCTGCTCTGACCTCTGGCCTCCTGCGGCTGAGGCCCTCCTGCCAGGTGTTACCTGAAATGTCTTCCTCCTAAGAGGTCTGCCCTGACCCCATTTACGTCAAGCCCACCACCTCCCCCGGCCCATCTGATCTTCTCCCTTGGCCCTTAGCAGGTGCTGCTCTTTCTAACCCTGCCGCCGATGACTGTTCACCGACTGTCCACCAGGCTCTAAGCCACAGGTCACGGCCACCCACCCTCCAGCCTGGCCTGTGACCGGGGCAATCGCCACCTGAAGACTGACAGCGAATGAGCGAACGTGCACACACAAATGACAGACCCCGCCCACCCCGCCTCCAGACTTCCCGTTACCTCTTCCGCTTCCTCCTCCGAGTCCACCACAGGGAAGTCCTGTAGGGACTGGGTGGTCCGCTCGGAGCCGTACGCTCCCACGGCGCCTTTTCCTTTCCGCTGTTTGGCTTCGATTGGCGTGATGATACCTGACGAGTTTCAGCAAAAGGAAAAGGGAGAGGCTTCAGGTCACAGCAGTTCTTGTCCTGAATCCGCCCCTCGTGATGTCACATGTCTTGGGCCTCACGCCCACTAGCACGGGGCCCCGGGAGGAGAGCTTGTCTCTGTCCCTCACCCCCGCCCACGTCCTGTGGCTGGACCCTGAGCTGCCACAGACCAGGGCTGCGTGAGGCATTTAGGTCCCACACACAGACCTCCATCTCCACCCGCATCCATTTCGTAGTGGATGCGAAGAGAGAACAATTCATTTGTAACTGGGAACTCGGCACACAATTCTCTGCTTGATCGGAAGCCCTCAGCATGGAAGCGCAGTGATTCAGGTGACACCGTATGGCGATTCCGCCTGAAGCAGGTGAAGCTGCACTGGAGAGCCACCTACTTGACATTCAGACCAACTGTGCTTCGCTTGTTTTATAACGTGTGTAAGCCTTGGAATGAAATGTTCTAATAACAGCAATAACAGAGTTTCTAACCAAGACCCCAGCATTTCAATACAGATTTCCCCTCCCCCCAAACTCTCCCCCGCCTCCCACTTCCAGTGAGTGCTGTTGAAATCTCAATGAGAACATCCCCCTCTCTTTCCTGGCCACCATCTCTAGCGTCCCTTTGTGGATTTCTCATAAGCTAATGTTTTCACACATAACCTGGATTTAATTGTCACCCTCACTCAGGGAGTGGAATGTGAATGAATGACAGATACTACTACCAACTCCAGGCGGTGGTGCCCCTGGCAGAGGCGCCAGGCCCAGGGAAGCCGTCTGCAGGAAGAAGGCACCGGCGTGGGCTGGTGGCCCTGGGACTGAGGTGAGGATGTGTGCGGGGAGCTGTGTCCCCCGCATGTGTCTGAGGCCGGGTGGGGGGAAGGACAGGAGGCAGAGCGCCTGGGAGGATGGAGGGAGCGAATGCAGGGCTTGCTCAGCCCAGCTTGCAGCTGCGTGGCTCCTGCTATTCAGCCACACACAGGGCTTTACGGGTTTCCCGGAGGACGAACGGCCGCCTCTGCAGAGCTGAGATGCCTGTGAGCAGGGACCACTGACTCTCAAGCTTTCAGGGCCCAGGAAAGTCAATGAAAACAAGTCAAATGGGGCTGGGGGAGGGGAGGGGAGGGAGGGGCGGAGACTGTCTCCAGGAGCAGCCAGGGGCATGGTCCCGGGCAGTTAGGATTCAGCTGAACCCATCACTGCAGGCAGGTCTAGAATTTCAGGAGCGAGGGTATCCCTTTTAAATACTGGCAACAAAGTCCTCTTTTTTTAGAAAAAATGAGGCCAAGAAGCATTTTCAGCCCGTGAGCTTGCTGCCTGTTTCAGACCCCCCCCTCCTCCTGCTGAAACCAGTGTCTTATTAGAGTCCGTAGCTCCAGGCAGCGTAGGGGACAGTCTGTCTTGTGCTGGCCCAGGCTGAGGAGTTCAGATACTTTCCAAGGAGCAAAGCAGACACTCTCCCCTCCTCGGCCCCGGCCCCTCCCACAAGAGGCCCTCCAAGGCCCGTACCTTGCGCGTTCTTGCCGAGGCCCCTCCCAGGGACGTAGCCCATCTTCTGCAGGAGCTTCTGCCCGATTCCCTTCGTGTGTCTCTCCCAGCTGCCAAAATCCATGAACGACTTGGTTCCTCCTGCAAAGCCTTTCTGGCTGGGTTTAAAATTGCCACCCTGCAAAGCAACAGCAGAGCTCAGGTGATGGAAAATCTAAGCAAGCAAGCTCGACTGGTGGGAAAATGGCCTGATGTGGAAAGAGACTGCACGGCACACTTCAACCCGGAAGCAACCGGGCTCCAGCTGGGCCCCCACCCGCTAGGAGGGGCTTAGGCTGCAGTGACCTTCCGAGGACATTGCTAAGGCCACAGTCCTTCCATAAAGATGCTACCGTTCTTTTGCCCTGGCTGGTGTGGCTCAGTGGATAGAGCGTCAGCCTGCAGACTGAAGGGTCCTAGGTTCGATTCTGGTCAAGAGCACAAGCCTGGGTTGCAGGCATGATCCCCAGTAGGGGGCGTGCAGGAGGCAGCCGATCAATGATTCTCTCTCGCCATTAATGTTTCTATCTCCCCCACTCCCTTCCTCCCTGAAATCAATAAAAGCATATTTAAAAAGAAAAGAAAAAAGATGTTACCGTTTTTAACTTCTTTGGCCCGAAATCCTTAGGAAATTCTTCCTGCTTAACAGGCTTCTCTTCATCGTCAGAATCTTCCAGCTCCGCCTCCTCCGCCGCCGCTTTCTTGAGGCCGGCGCTGATGAAGTTGACGGGCGCGGAGTAGTCTCGGGCCCTGCAGGCAGACACAGTGCCCCATGAGGGAATCCTAAATCAGTTACCAACTCCCATCTGTGAGCTGCTGACTCACGCCTGTCTCCACCCACTGGGGTCTGGGCCGCTAGCACCAGGCCCTACATAACCGCTCAGTAACACTGCCCAGTGGTTAGCGCAGCGGAAGGACAGCATTCGAGCCTCTAGAGGAAAACGGCCTCCCTAGCTGATGTCCTGGCTAAGGGACTCGGCAAGGCCAGGAGAGAAGTATAGTCAGTGGGGTAGCTCCCAAGGCCCCTCTGTCTGCCCCAGCCCCTTCCCTAAAGCAGAAGGAAGCAGCCCCTGGCAGCCAGTACCGTTTGCCTCCGAAGCTGGGCCTCTCTTCATCCGAGTCGCGCTCTGCCCACACCCCGTAGGTGGCCTCTTCCTTGGTCTGCCAGTGCCGCTGCCGGTTGGGGTTGAACTCATTCTGCAGATCCCAGTCAGTGATCTCAAAGTTCTCCCTCTCGTCGTCGTCGTCATCCATGTGGCCTTCCCCGTCCCGGTACAAGTGGGACAGCGACATGGCCAGTCACTGAGGGAACAGACGAAACAGGCGCAGTCGGTGATCGGTTCTGAGCATCAGTGCAAGACTTCCTTGAGAGCTCCTCTTCCTGCCTGCCTTCCCAACTCCCTGCAAACTCCCAAGTCCCTCCATCACCGTGACAAGCTAAGCAAGCAGGCATTACAGTCGCACTTTAGACCTTAGCCGGTGTGGCTCAGTGGATAGGCCTGCGGACTGAAGCATCCTGGGTTCAATTCCGCTCAAGGGCACGTGCCCGGGTTTCAGACTTGATCCCCAGTGGGGGGCGTGCAGGAGGCAGCCAATCAATGATTCTCATCATTTATGTTTCTATCTCTGTCCCTCGCCCTTCCTCTCTGAAGTCGATAAAAATATATTAAAAAAAACAAACAAAACCCACACACACACACAAAAAAACCGTGTTTCAGGAAGCAATGGGCACTAAGACAGGTGGTGCAAAAGGCTCGTCCCAAGAGCCTGGGATTCCTAACCATGTATTTCCTCGTCCTAGTCAGTGTCATAAAACATCCCACACAAAAATAACCACGCTGTTCTGTAAGTGACTGCTCAGAAGGTGTGCAGACAGCACCCCTACTCCACATTTACATCTGAGGGAGTTCTCGCTGGACCCTGGCGCCCCCAGGAAGTGAGTCCTTTAGAATGTGCTTTCTGAAGCGCATCACTTGTTGAGACCCCAAGACTCCGTCCTCCCCAAACACGAACCGACCTGCGGAGCTGGAAGGCAGCTGCGAGTGGGAGCACAAGCTTTAACAGCCCAGCATCTCCCGCCTGGAATACAACACCAGCTCCCGGGAGCGGGCGATGAGCTTCAGCTGCCTCTTACACCATCAACCACCGCATGAAGCACCACCCGCGCCTTGGAGGGGCCTGAAAGGCGCGCCCAGGAGCTGCTACTTGGAAAACTTCACTCCGAGTAAGTGCTCAAGGGGAGCAGCTGTTCCCAGGTCCCATGATTGCCACTGGCATCGCTAGAGTCGGAGAGAGCCTAACGGGGACGGGAAACCAGGCCGCCCGCGTTCAAATGCCCCCTCCCAGGCACTGTCCAGCGAGGGGCGCCACTCGGTGACCACGGACCGCACGGCAGCAACTGGACGCTTGTCCGCCGGCGGCCTCAGCGACAGGGAGCCAGGGCTTCCCAGGCGGCGCCCACCAGCCCCGCTCTCTTAGGTAGTTTTCCCTGCTCCTTCGACTCCCTCTGGGCGCTTCTGCATCCGACCCACCCGCGCGCAAACGAGGAAAATGTCCCGCGGAGCCCCAGGGCCGTGGGCACCGGGCCTGGTAACGACCGCAGGGTTGTCACGCGTGGGAGGGCGCTCGGCTCGGGCTCAGCACCGGCCGGACCTTCGGGCCGAGCACCCAGCGTCAGCCTCGAGGCGCTCCCCCAGGTCGGCGCGGGCGACTCCGCGCGCCGGGCAGGAAACAGGCCGAGACGCGAGACGGCCTTTAACTGAGGCCGAGGCGCGGGCGTGTCTCCCCGCCGTCCCGGCTGGGCCGTGTGGCTTCGGGCCCCAAGCCGACCCCGCGGTGACCCGAGCGCCCGCCCCTCTCGGCCTCGGCCGAGCCTCTGCGAAACGGAAGCGGGGCCGAGGCTGCCTCCCTCCCGGGCACTGACACCCGCTCTCCTGGGAGTTCCCGTCCCTTCCGCCCCCAGCCCAGCTCACCTCCTACGAGCTCAACGTCCCAAACACACACCTACTGCGAGCGAGAAGCGCGGTTCCGGAAGTCGGTACCCGAATTCCGGAAGTGCAGGGACCGGCGCACCGGAAATGACGTCAGAGAGCGGAAACGGCGCGCTGGTTGCCATGGCAGCAAGAAAGCCTGGAGCCGCCGTGGCTCGGAGCGGCAGGGCGGAGATGCTAGAAAGCAGGCGCAGATTCTCAGGGTCCCACGTGGCTGGGGCGGGGGCTGAGGCCCCGGCCAGGTCGCCTCCCTGCCGCGCCTGCCTCGTGGCGACGCCCAGCCTGTGATAAAAGGGATGGACGTCGCCGAGCCTCCTTGGTGGCTCTTCTGCCCGCCTCACATTCTAAATCTGTGAAACGGGGATATAGGACTCGTTCATAGGATACTAGTGAGGAATTGTGAGGCTTCAAGGCGGGCGGGACAGGCCTTCGTGTGGGAATAATGAAGGGCAAGACTACCCTGGCCCTGGCCGGTATGGTTCAATGGATAGAGTGTCTGCCTGTGGACTGAAGGGTCCCAGGTTCGATTCTGATCAAGAGCACAGGCCCGGGATGCGGGCTCGGTCCCCAGTAGGGGGCATGCAGGAGGCAGGCGATCAGTGATTCGCTCTCATCATTGATGTTTCTATCTCTCTCCCTCTTCCTACCTCTCCGAAATCAATAAAAATAAATTTTTATAAAAAGAATGCAGGCTCTGATTCGAGTGAACATCAAGAATAGGACAAATCGCAATCACATACCACTTGGTAGGATGCCTTGAGAAAATTGCAGCATCGCTCCTATGATATTCCTGACAAAAATACATAATCTGAACCGAATCATGAGTATACATCAGAAAAACCCAAATAAAGGGCATTCTATCAAAAAACTTGCTTGTAATCTTCAAAGGTGCCAAGGTGTGTAAGTCAGAGACCCTGGAACTGTTCCATACTGAGAGGCATGGCAATTACTAGTAAGTACAATACAGGATTCTGAACTGGATCTTCTTACTGTAGAGAAATTTACTGGGTGCTGTTCTCAGATTTGTCCACAATAGGGGGCACTACTGTAACCCATCCCTGCTGGACAAGAACCCTTTAGGTCTCTCAATAGGGTTTTCTTTTCAGACTCGCAGAATTCATTACTAGGGTGCTGTTCTCAGAATGTCCACAAGAGGGCACTATTGAGACTCTTCCCTTAAGGGCCAGAGCCCTCTAGTTCTCTCAAGTTGATGCCCTAAAACCCCCGAATACTTTCGTATTTCCAACCAAGACATGCTCCAATGTAACTGCAAAATAACCATCAAAATCAGGAAATGAACATTGGCACATCACTGCCTTGGATACCTGAGACTCTATTTGAATTTTGCCAATTGTCCCAATACATTTTTTTTTCTTTTTTTGAGAACAGCACACTAGTAAGGGAAGGGTTGCAATAGTGCCCTCTTGTGGACATTCTGAGAACAGCACCCTAGTAATGAATTCTGCGAGTCTGAAAACCCTTTTGAGAGACCTAGAGGGCTCTGGCCCCGCAGGGAAGTCAAAATAGTGCCCTCTTGTGGACATCCTGAGAACAGCACCCAATAAATTTTTTTTTACAGCGAAACACACAGTTCATAATCATGTGCTGCATTTAATCGCCATGTCTCTATAGTCTCCTTCAGTGTGGAACAGTTCCAGGGTCTCTGACTTACACAATCTAATTTTATATGACTGAGAGAAAAAAACTTATATGCATTTAGAATTTTTAAATGGAGTTTCTAGAGTAAACCTTCAATGGATCCCAATCTCCATTTTTCTGCTTCCTAGGTTTGGGACCGGGGGCAGGTTGCTTCACCTCTCAGTACCTCAGTTTTCTCACCTGTACAATGGGGATAATGACAGCACTGCTCTAAAAGGGTGGTTTTCAGGACACAAAATGGGGGGGAGCTAATTGATGCATATAATGCTCTTAGAGTAATAAGTACTTTGTACATGGTTGTGGTTCTTTTAATTTAAAAGACCCAATTTCATACCTTCACATGGAAGGCCTCTCAGCCTTAAAGGTGAGTAGTTTTTCAGGATTTCTGAGTTCAAGAAGTTTCGATTCAAGGTCCCATACCCATCCTGGCCTCTAGTCACTGCCCAGAGAAACCCTTGCTTTGGGACTCAAGGACACCAAGGCCCGTGTTCAGAATCTCAATGAGGTACTCAGACAGGAGCCTTCCCAGGAGGGGTTGCCAAGCAACAAGGCGCCTCTGCAGGAGCCGGGCAGGGCCTTCCGATGCTCATCAGTCGGACCCTCCCTTTTCACAGACGAGGTGATGGAGGAGCCATCCCACAGGAAGCAGCCAGGGCTACACAGCGAGTCTCAGCACAGAGCCGGTTCCCGGACCCAGGAGGTCAGACTTGCAGGCCAGTGCTCGCTCTGCAAGTCCCTGCATGGGGCCCCACACCATTTCTGCCCACTTGTTGGAGCCAGTACTTCTGGAGTGATCCCTGTCTGCTCGGGGTCACAGAGACAAGGCCCTGCAGATGTCATCTCTTCAATCCCCCACCTTCCCAGGGGTGTCTGTGGCCCCCCGGGCCCCCACACCTGATCCCCCTTTAGCAGCCTGTGCCATGCTGCACGGAGCCCATTCTGCCTTTGAAAGGTTTGGGGGGGAAATCCTTGCTCAGTTACGACTTGAAATAGGTTGATACCATAGGAACAACTCGCAAGTGACATTTCAAAGCTGATTTATTTAAAGTCTAGCACAAGCGCCTTTTCTAGGACAGGGACATCATTCAGTTGCACACGGCTTAGTGTTTTGAATCTTGTCACAAAAATATATCTCGCGCCGGAACTGAAAATCCAGATCAGCTGGGTGAGCGAATTTGCTTTCTTTAAATGTTTCATGCAGATGGTTTCCACCCTTTCAAGAACTTGTGAACACCATCCTTAGATAGCAGCTGGGACGTGACGTTCCGCAGGCCTGAGGCAGGATCTGAAAGCAAGCACCCTCCAAAGCACACGGTGAGATGAGGACCCCCGGCCTTCATCATTCATTCATTCACTCACTCACTCACCCATTCATTCACTGAGCCACTCATTAACAAATATTTCTGAGCTCCTATGTATTGTCTATTGTAGTGTTAACAGTTCTCTTCAAGCTGAGCAGCTGCAAACGACAATAAACATGATCTCAGTTTCTTTGGGGAGGAATCCAAGTGTGGCCCAGCCGGGTTGCTGTGATGCGGGGTCCCCCTTGGGCCGCGCTCCTGAGGTGACCCGCTCGCACGGCTGGCCGCTGGTGCCGCTGTGGGCAGGAGGCCCGAGTTCCCTGCCCCGGGGACCTCTGTCAGGTGCTGAGTGTCCTCATGACAGTGACCGGCCTCCCCGAGAGTTGGGTCGAGATAATAAGGCCAAAGCCACACGGGGTTTATGATCTCGCCTTGGGGGTCACACACCGACAGGCAGTTCCCTGATATCCGACCGGCTGCACGGCCGGCCCCAGGGAGGGTTGTCAGCCAGACTGAGCAAATAGAAATACAGGGTGCCCAGCTCCACGAGAACTTCAGACAAACGACAAACAAGATACGTATTGTTTTATCTGAAGCCCATGTTCAGCCATCCGTCTTGTATTAACCTGGGACCCGACCTTAGTCAGTGTGGAAAGGGACATCGGACGAAAGGGCGTGACCACCTGGAGGTGGGGACCTCTGGGGGTCCCCTGGGGAGCTGGCTCCCACCCCCTCCATCCGCCAGGCGACATGTGGGGTAAATGGTGAGCAATTAACAACGATGGTTCCCATTCAGTTTACGGTCTAGTGAGACCAACACGAGTCCAATCATCAGGCAAACAAATGCAGAACCTTGGCTGTGGTAAAGTGCTTCCGAAGGAGCCGCCGGAGCTCGGGGCAGGTGTGGGGTCCTCCTCAGAAGGCCGCCGTTGTGTTCTGTAGATGGAGCTTGCACACGCGACTGTGTGTGTGTGTGTGGAAGGCTCTGCCACTAAAAAACAAAACCCTGAAAATACACACAAATAAACCGTGAAAAGTCTGTGTGGAGCAGAAAAACCTGGACGCTCCCACCAGCCCAAGCCCAAGACAGCAAAAGCACCAACATCAGCCAAGGCACGCGGGGCGGAGCCGGGCGACCGTCCCCGCCGCCATCTGGCCGTGGAAGCGCCTGCTCACCCAGCTGCTCCCAGGGCTGAGATTTCACAATCCGCGGTGCCAGGTCACTCAGGCGGGACGGGTGGGACTTGCAGCAACAGGGGGTGGGAGCGCGGAGGAGGCGGGTGTGGTGATGCCCACCAGGAGCTTCCTGTGCGCACAGTACGGCCCCTGCCCGTCCCGTCGGACCGCGGTCTCCACTGTCACCCGGGGCCCCACGGCTCTGGCCCATCGGCCCCTCCCGATCACCCGGGGGTTTAACTTCCCCATTTCACATGTGCACATGGCGGGGACACTGGCCCAAGTCACTCCCCCCACCGCCTCACTCACCATCTTTCGATGCAGAACTGTCTGGAGCCTGGCATCTGGGGCCGAGCAGGGAAGGGGCCCCCCGCAGGTGGGGCGAGCTCGCACCCACGCATGCCGGAGGCAGGACAGCCGAGAAGCCCCGGAATATTCCTTCTAATGGGGCGTCTCTGAACATGGGGCTCGGGCCGCTCCGGGCAGATGCTGTGCTCGCCGGTGGCGATGCCGGGGCCCGGCTCATCTGGAGACGGAGATGAGGTAGCACCGCAGGCCTCTGGGCACCCAGCGGGGCTGGACAGGGGCGTCTACGCCCCGAGGGAAGGGCCGCCGGGGGCTCAGGCCGGTCCCTCGGGCTCTGCCAGTGCCTGTGCTGATGCTGATCTGCACCCTTTGTCTGCAGTAAACCATCAACGTGAGACTAATGGGTTTTCTGAGTTCTGGGTCCTCCCAGCAAATCACCAGACCGCGGGGCCCTTGGGGACCTGACAGGGTGGGCAGAGCCCGGCGGACCCCGGGCCACCAGGCAGGACGCAAGACCCGCGCCTGTCCCTCCGTGAAGTAAGGCACCGACAAATGAGTCCCTGGTCACTTTATTCAAATAATAGATCTATTTTCTGTGTCCATTTAAGGGCTGGGGAGGAATGAAAGAAAGCCTCATATATTAAATTTTTAAATAGATTCTTTGAATTAAAAAATAGGGCCTAGGAGAGGCACGGGGTGGCCTGGTCCCAGCCGGCAGCGCCGCCCAGGGCCCTGCACAGGACCAGGCAGCAAGGCCACTTCTTAGAAAAAGTTCTCGCGGGAAAATATAAAAACCAAGTTTCCAAAGCTGGACGGTGTCCGCACTCCCGCCCTCCATCCCGGAGGGCCCGAAGGCAGCGTTTCACGGAAAGCTTCCAATGGCCCGGCTTTGCAAACATACGCAAGTCACCCCTCGGCAGCAGGCCCTGCGCCGGTTATAGCAAGCAATATGCTTGGATTAGAGTCCGATTTCCGCTGGAGGCAGCTTCTCCCCTTCCTGGCGACAGCCACTGCGGAGACCTGAAAGCAGGGGGCCGCGTGAGCCCAGGCCGGTCCCCTCCGCAGGGGTGACGGCAGAACGCGCCCGCAGGAGACGGGAGGCTCCCCGCATCGCAGCCTGCACCCCGACCTCAGACGCCCGAAGAGCAAACAGCAGCGACTGCTGGGAGGCGAGGGAGGGAAGGGTCAGCCAGGAGGGAGCTAGCGCGCCCGGTCTGGTCTGCGTGTCTCGCTTAGGGAAGCCAGGGCGGCATCGGCTTTTGTCAGGGAGGCGGCGCAGGAGCAGAGCAGGGAGGTCGGAGAAAGGGAGAAACGCGGGGACCTGTGTTCCACGTGAGGTTCTTTCCTCTGGGATTAAGCAGACTCCGGGGCCTGAGCAGGATTTGGGGGGGGGGCCCTGAGAGTGACGGGCCGGGGTGTCTCCAGCCTGGCACGTGGGTGCAAAGCGGGTGTTGTTTTTTTTTAAATGAAAAAATATGCTGATTATTGAAAAATAAGATGAGACTAAAAATAGAGTCTGGGCGAGAAGCTCTGTTTCCGTTTAAAAAGCACCAGGAGATACCAGGCGAGTTCCTTCTCGCGTTTCCCTGACCCGGTCAGAGAGGCGGGGGCACCGGGACACTCACTCCCTCGTGGATTCCCTACCCCCTGCCCAGGTCCACGGCCAGGGCCCAGCACCCACACTGGTCAGCTCTCTGGCAGGTGGACAGTGACGAAGCCCATTCTCCAGGTGTGGAAAACTGAGGCCGAGAGGAGTCAAACGTGAAGCGAGTCCTTAAATCTTTGACTTAAGTTCAAACCCAAGTTTGGAGCCGTTCCACTGCCCCTTAGCAAACACAGATGAGTAAATACTCATTCTCCGGGGGAGATGTCTTTGGGGGAGATTCTGCCCTTTGTGACCCTGTCTGCCTTGGGCAAGGCAAATCCTTCTCTGGGCCCTGGTTTTCTCTTCCATAAAATGGGACCATGTCACCTGCCTCCCAGGAATGCTGAGGGCTGAGTGAGTGACAGGGCGGTGGGGTTATGCTTAGACCAGACCTGCCTGTGGGTACGATTAGAACAGTAGCTGCTTTGCGCCAAACCTGATCTGTTAACAGAAGCTGGCCTGGCAGGCGGCAGTCCAGGCAACAGTGGTCCCAGGACCCCCCATCTCTGGTCCTGGGGCGCCTCCCTAAGCCAGACAAACCTTTCTCGGGCTGGCTCAGCACTGAGCCCTGCCCAGCCCAAGCAGGAGACTAAGCCTCGATTCTATAAATAGTTCCCTGGCCGGTCACCATGGAAACCTCCCAGAGGGGTGGGTCAGCCCCCCTTGGGGGACACTCCTCCCCAGGGAGGCTCTGGAGGGACAAGCTTTTCAGGAAAGAAGCTCCTGGGCTCGGAAGCGGGGAGTCCCCCGGGGTCGGGGCTCAGAAGGGCGGTCCCCGCGGGGTCGGGGGTCGGAGGTCAGAAGCGCGGTCCTACCTGGAAATCACGAGCTTCCCACGTGGGAGGCGGTGCTGTTCGGGTTCACCTGCGGGAAGACACAGAAGGTCACGCCAGGTGGGTGCCAGGGGCTCGCTGCCCCGTGGTCCAGCCCTCAGCATCATGGCCGGCACACACTCACCCATCCCATCCTCCCTGCACACCTACTATGTGCCGGGTGCTGGGAAACGTGAGCCTGACAGACCAGGCCTGCTCTCAGGTAGCTTCTGTTCTAGGGGGAGGGGCTGACGCGCACACACAGGCTGATGCTGGCCACACCCGGCACCACGTGGGCCACAGGAGTGACGGGGCTGCTTCACCCGGAGGGAGGGGCCGACAGGGTGTGTGTGTGTGTGTGTGTGTGTGTGTGTGTGTGTGTGACTGCGCTGCGGTGAAGAACCAGCATCTGGCCTTCGTCCTGTGCCCGGCACACAGCTCCTAAAACCCGCAGCCTCTCCAAGCATCTCCTGAATGCTAATGAGGTGATTGCTGGGGGGCCCACAGAGCTTCAGGATGGGGGGCTGGTCGCCGGAAGGACCAAGGCCTGAATAGAGGGGTGGGACTCTCAGCACCCCACCCCCCGACCTTAGTAATCACTGGCCTGTGACCGGGTCAATCATGCCTGCTTCATGAGCCCTCCCCAGGAACCCCAGCTTCCGGCTGGGCGGGCGGTGCACCCGGAGAGCCACGGATCTCGCCCTCCCCAGCCCCTGCCCGGGCACCTCTCCACGTGGCTGTTCCTAAACTGTCCCCTTCATAATAACCTGAGGAGTGGGCGTCGTGGGAACCCCCAAATGTGTGGGTGTCCTGGGAACCCCCTGCGGCTGGCGGCTGGCGGCGCCGGGAGTCAGTGTCGGGGCTGAACTGAGCGCCGGCTGGTGCCCAATCAGAGGACCGGCTGCCAGTGTCTGACACCCTCACACTCCACAAGCAACAACCCAAAAGGTGAACCCGAGTCCCCCCGCGCGGAGGTCAGAGGTCGGGGGGGACAGCATTCCCGCGGGGGGACAGCAGAAACCGGGAGGGAGGGTGTCCCAGCCCAGGGAGTGAGCAGGCACTGTCGCCGGAGCTGCAGGTCTAGTGTGTGAAGCTGTGTTGCTGGCTGAACATTTCCCCGTTTTTGGTTTCACGATGACCACGTGGGAGGACCACACGGGACTGCAGCTCGCCGACGGCCCCTTTACTTGGCTCTGCCCTGCGGTCAGTTGCAGGGTTTGCAATGTCCTGGCTGAGTCATGGGTGGGGGGGGGCGTGCAGGGGAGCGGGCGGGGCGGGGGCAACGGCAGGGCAGCTCCCCGCGGGCGAGGCTGGGAGCCGATGACACAGCACCTGCCACTCCTCCACCCCACGCTGGGCCGGGACACACCCTGCCCTGCAGGGCCGCACACTGGCCGACTCTGGTGAAAAACACGCTCTGGGCCTCGCAGGCCGAGTCTTAAAAAGATCTGGACCTTCCACCCACGGATTCCACTCCTAAGAATGGGCTCCGGGGAATGACTCAGTGAGCCCCACCCGTACCCTGGCCCACGGAAGAGGCAGGAGCAGGGTGAGGTGTGCCCGGCATCCTTCTGGATGCTTCCACAGACGGCAGAGGATCTTGGGGAGACGGTGAGGTCACGGGTGGCACGTGAGCCTGCGCGCGGCACTCTGCCCAGGGCTGCGCGGGTCCCCCACGGCACACGTGAAACCCACTGACTAGACGGAGAAGCAAAACAAAGCCGCTCCGACACACACTCACCACGAAGGCCGCACGCACAGGGGCTGAGACAGGCGACGAGCAAAAGTGAAGTTTCCGGCCGTGGGCACCCCCCTCCCCCCGCCCCCGCTTCTGTTTGCTGTTCTTGTTACTCCTTGTTTTGGTTAAAACAGGTGAGAAATGGTGCTGACTAATTCTAGCATCTTTAAAAATATATATATTGGTATTGATTTCAGAGAGGAAGGGAGAGGGAGAGAGATAGAAACATCCATGATGAGAGAATCATTGATCGGCTGCCTCCTGCACGAGTTCAGGGCTGTGTTTCTCTCTCATCCGTGTTTCTCTCTATCCCTCTCCCTTCCTCTCTCTCTAAATTCAGTAAAAACATATTTTTAATAAAAACAAATGAAATTAAGGCTAAAGACAGAGAGTTGCCACCAACTCCCCCAACTGCTTTCCAGCCCGGAGACCAGGTGCAGGGAGGGGCTCAGGCAGAGGGCGGCCGAGGCCTGGCCCAGCTGGTCACTCAGAGCGCCCCTGGTCCGACTCTCACCCCCTCACTCCCCCGCCCCCATCCCCACCCTCACCCTCCCTTCCCCCCCAATATCCTGATGGGGAGACTATCACCCACAGCAGAGGTGAGGAGTCAGGCACGCAGCTAGCGGTACAGCCGGGCAAACTGCATTCACAATTCCCCGTGGGGTTTCTAACCTGAAAATGTCCTTTCAGATTGGCTGGTGTTTTATAGTCCCCTCTCAAGACCTACAGAAGAGAAAAGAAATATCACTTTCATGGATCTGATAAAAAAATAAAATTCAGTCCATTACCTCCACATCCATCCCCCTTCCCACCCATCCATCCATTAACTTATCTTACCACTCACCTATCCACCCACCCGCCCGCCCATCCACGTGGCCAGCGTGGGGCGATCTGGGCCATGTCCCTCCCCATGTCTCCAGGGATGTGACCAATCCCCTGGGACAGCTTCACTCACACGGGGGTCCTCCCAATCACTGAGCACTGACCCCCAGGATCCATTACAGAAACACAGAGTGTCTACAGTAGACACAGAAACACACACACGCACATACATGTACACGCACACTTACCCACGCACACGCATGCACATACATGTACACGCACACTTACCCACGCGCACACGCACATACATGCACACACACTTACCCATGCGTGCGCACATGCACATACATGTACACACACTAACCCATGCACACACGCACATACATGTACACGCACACTTACCCATGCGCGCACACACATGCATGTACACGCACACTCACCCATGTGCGTGCACACGCACATGCATGTACACGCACACTCACCCATGTGTGTGCACACACGCACATACATGCACACGCACACTTACCCATGCGCACACACGCACACACACGTACACTTACCCATGCACACACACGCACATACATGTACACACACATTTACCCATGCACACACATGTACACGCACACTTACCCATGCACACACACAAGGCTTTCAACAAAGGAACTTAACTCTGCAGTAGCATCCAAACCAGCCTAAAGGCTAAGCAGCTATCTGTCTGGCCGGTGTGGCTCAGTGGCTGAGCATCGACCCGTGAACCAGGAGGTGATGGTTCACTTCCCGGTCAGGGCACACGCCTGGGCTACAGGCTCGATCCCCAGTGTGGAGTGCGCAGGAGGCAGCCAATCAGTGATTCTCTCTCATCCCTGATGTTTCTATCCCTCTAGCCCTCTCCCTTCCTCTCTCTGAAACCAGTGAAGGGTAAGAGTAGAGGAATAAAGTGAAAATTAGTGCACAGATGGGCCCGAGGGTTGAATGCTATAGAGCAGGGGTCCTCAAACTACGGCCCGCGGGCCACATGCAAATACAAGTATTGTATTTGTTCCCTTTTTGTTTTTTTACTTCAAAATAAGATGTGTGCAGTGTGCATAGGAATTTGTTCATAGTTTTTTTTTAAACTATAGTCCGGCCCTCCAACGGTCTGAGGGACAGTGAACTGGCCCCGTTTAAAAAGTTTGAGGACCCCTGCTATAGAGTGTGAGGCAGTTGGCTTTGAGCTTCCTTGTGGCCCAAGCAAAAATGGAAAGACAAGCAGTCACATGACCCACCACGGCCACAGCTCAGGAATCACGATGCTTATATTATTATTTTCTCAGGCAGCTGGGGCTCGCACCCCCGCCACTGCCCGCAAGCACACCTCCATGTGTGCACACCTCTGCATGTGCACGCCTCCACATGTGCACACCTCCGCATGTGCACGCCTCCACATGTGGACACCTCTGCGTGTGCACGCCTCCATGTGCGCACACCTCTGCGTGTGCATGCCTCCATGTGTACACACCTCCAGTTGTGTGCGCCTCCACATGTGCACACCTCCGCGTGTGCACGCCTCCGGTTGTGCGCGCCTCCGCATGTGCGCGCCTCCATGTGTGCACGCCTCTGCCTGTGCACGCCTCCACGTGTGCGCCTCCATGTGTGCACGCCTCTGCGTGTGCACGCCTCCACATGTGCGCGCCTCCGATTGTGCACGCCTCCCTGTGTGCACACCTCTGCGTGTGCACGCCTCCACATGTGCACGCCTCCGTGTGTGCACACCTCCACATGTGCGCGCCTCCGTGTGTGCACGCCTCCACATGTGCGCGCCTCCGTGTGCACGCCTCCACATGTGCGCGCCTCCGTGTGTGCGCCTCCGCGTGTGCACGCCTTCGTGTGTGCACACCTCCACGTGTGCACGCCCACTCACCCGGTGCGTGTTGTTGATGACGATGGGGTCCGGGTTGCCGTAGTTGGGAGGGTTCGCGTAGGGGTCGTAGCCGAGCCGGGCCAGCATGGGGGCGATCTGGGCCATGTCCCTCACCACGTCCCCGGGAATGTGCCCGGTCCACTTGGACAGGGCTTCCAGGTTCACGGGCTTGATGACCTGGTCGGTGGATCGCTCGATCCTGCGGAGAGAGGACAGGCTGCAGGGCCGGGCAGACCCGGGCGCCACCTGGGGGCCCCCTGCTCAGTCACTCGGGGGCACTGGGGAGACTGGAGGGGCCTGGGCCCCATCGACTTTGAGTCCGAGGACGGGTCCCGGGCTGGTCACGCCCCTCTGTGCGCTGGGGTACAGCTCGCGACGGGAGGAAGGACGGACCAGGCAGAGAACACTGTGGGGCCTAACTTCTGCTTCCTTGATGCCTCTGACTTAACTTTTGTCTCTGCGGCTGAGACGGACAGTCTGTTCCAGGAAAGAATTACCAAACATGAGCGGTGAGGCCGGGTCCCTGTGGTCGCCACTCCCAGGCCCTCGCGCCCTGCAGGGACCCCGTCCTCCGACCCTTTTTCTGAGCCTTAAATAATGGAGTACCTAAGAGCTGACTCAGGAGCCAGACTGTCTGGGTTCAAATGCCAGTTGTACCAACAGCAGCTGTGCAGCCTGGGAGGTTACTGTCCCTCTCGGAGCCTGTTTCCTCAGCTGTGAACCGAATGCTGACGGCACCCACCCCCGGGGCTGCTCCGAGGGGTCAGTGAGAGAATACAAGTAAATGAGTTACTACGGAGCGAGGGCTCGCTCTCCTCCTCCGCTGCTCGGTGCCCTGGGGCTCAGGGGGGGGCGGCCTCCCGCAGGAGGAAGGCAGAAGCTGGGGCAGGAGGAGGGCCCTGGACGTGGGGGGCTCGAGCGCACACTCCCTGGAGGCCAAGAGGCCCGGGCTCCCATCCCGGAGCCACACTCTGCTCCCGAGATCCCGTTTCCTCATCTGTAAAAGGCGGGGAGCGCAGTTCCGATGCCTTCAGGTCGCTATGGCGATTAAAGGGATAATGTTTGTTGGGGGCTTGACTCAGTGCTTGCCAGAGAGCGGGCAGTTATTAAATGGTAGCGATGGTGGGAGGACGGGTATCCAGCGAAAGCACATCAGCACTAACAAGGAGAACAGGAAGAGCAGCTCCTGGCCGGCGGGCGTGGCTCGGTGGTTGAGCGTCGGCCTATGAACCAGGAGGTCACGGTTCGATTCCCGGTCAGGGCACAGGCCTGGGTTGTGGGCTTGATCCCAGTGTGGGACGTGCAGGAGGCAGCCGATCCATGATCCTCTCTCATCACTGATGTTTCTCTCTATCTCCCTTCCTCTCAGAAGTCAATAAAAATATATTTTAAAAAATAACAGAGTAGCCCCTAACACGTTTACCCTATCTGACACTCACAGGTACTATCTATGAGGCAGACAGATCATAGTCCCATGTGACAGATGAGGAAATGGAAGCACAGAGAGGCCGAGTCACTTGCTCAAGGCCACACAGCTAGAAAGTGGTAGAGCTGGGACTCAAACCCAGATGGCCTGGTTCCAGAACCGGCGTTCGTCACCTTCACCCACTGCGGCCTGGCTGTCAGGCATGTTCGAAGGTCGCCGATTCTGTCAGGAAACAGGAGAGAGACTGCCCCCCTTTCTTGGATAACGCAGCTGCGCCTCAGAGAGGCACGGTGACCTGCCCGAGGCCACGCAGCCCATCTTTCCTCCACGTGCCTCTGACCCCAGGGCCGGGCCCGGGCGGGCGGGCTGTTGGGGGCCACTCACTTGGACAGGGAGACACCGCCGGGCTTGCCGATGAGGTCCTCGTGGTGCAGGACGGAGTCGCTCCAGGCGATGCCCAGGAAGTCCAGGATGAGCTGGAGGGAGCGCCGGGGGTGCAGCACCAGCTGCTCGTAGTACACGGGCAGGCACTTGTGGCGGCCCACCTCCAGGCACTGCGCGTACATCACCTCGATGGCCTTGTTCCACTTGGTGAGGCAGTCGCGGTAGCTGCTGAGGTCGAAGCCGGCGATGGTGACCTTGCGCGTGATCATGGAGTGCACGGAGGCGCGGCCGTCGCGCACCATCAGCAGGAACTTGGAGTTGGGGAAGAGGCGCGACAGGTAGACGGAGGACTTGAGGGTGAAGGGGTCCTTGTTGCAGAGCACGCGGGCCGGCTCGCCGTGCTTGGCGATCACCTCCAGGATGAAGGCCTGCATGGCGGCGTCCAGCACCTCGTCCGTCACGCCCGCCTCGTCCAGCCGCTGCTTCTCCCGGCCCGACTTGGACCAGGCCTGGCGCATGGCCAGCACGCGGGGGATGATGCGGGTCTCCTCGCCGCAGCGCACCTCGGGGTGGGCGTCCAGCATGGCGCGCATCAGCGTGGTGCCGCTGCGGGGCACGCCGCCCACGAAGATGAGGGGCATGGCCTTGCCGTAGCGGTACTCCACGCGGTCCGTGCCCACCATCACCAGGTCCTCGTGCTCCGGCCGCATGGCAGGCCAGCGGCTCTGCGGGCCCTTCAGCACCGCCCGGCACTCCAGCACCTGCTGCCCCAGCTGGAAGGCCAGGAGCAGGCCCAGGGCGCAGCCGGCCGCCAGCAGCGCCCTCCTCACCGACAGGCGCATGCTGGGCCTGGGGTGCGGGGCCAGCTTCAGTGGTAGGTCCGCCAGAGGCCTGCTGGGCTCACATCTGGGGAGAGAGGGAGGCCGTGGTCAGCGAGGCCTGGCACACAGGAAGCACTGAGCAGTTTCTACCATAATGACTGGTTATCCATTTAGTCTAATATTAAATGAGCAACTACTATGTGCCAGGAATTGAGTTTGGAGCTCAGAGACAGAGCCTCAGTCCCAGGTCCACACACATCATAGACCCACACCTGAGAGGGGGTGATGGGTTTTACTGAGCAGGTGAGGGCAGGCTTCCTGCAGGAGGAGGCAGCCCTCGGCGGAGTCTGAACAGTGGGCAGGTGAAGTCTGCACAGCCAGGCAGGGAAGAGAGAAGAGTGTTCCTGGCAGAGGGAACAGCCAGTGCAAAGTCACAGGCAGGGGAGAAGCCACGTGCCTGGGAGCTGCCGGCAGCGTGGGGAGCGGAGCAGGGTGTGGAGGGAAGGGAATGGGGAGACGGCATTCCTCTTTGAACATCAGGTCCAGCCAAAACCACCACAGGACCTGGCCTGCAGCTGGACCAATCCAGACGCAGGGCTCGCTTGGCCTGGGGCCCTTCAGTCCACGCGAGTGGAAAATGTACCCCCGGGCCCAGGGTCGAAGCTGATGAAAGGCCGAGGCATTTCCTGGCCACACGGCTTTGGGAGAGTCACTTCCTCCATCTAAGCCGCAGTTTCCTTCCCTGCAAAGGGCTGGGGCCCCTGACCTTGAAGGTGGTGGGAGGTTCTAGAAGCGACTGACAAAGCAACGCTGAGTCTCCTCCTGGGGCCACTGGGCTCTGAGCTGCAGAAAGCAGCTGGGGAACCCCTCTCCAGAAACGTGCTGCTGACAATGCTGGGGTTCCTGGGTGCCCTGAATTCCAGATCTGGCTACTGCCAGGGGGTGGGAGGCTGGGCCGGACATAAAGCCACTCAGCAGTCCGCCCATGATGATTACTTCGGTGTCAGTGCCCCTGGGGAACTGTCAGTCACGTGTTCGCTTGATTAGCATAACCACCCCTTCCTCCTGACACTTAGTGGGGAGGAGAGAATGGAGCTTTGAGGGAACAGATGGCAATGGGGGGGGGGGGGGTGTGAGGAGAGAGGGAGAAAAGGGGATGACCTGGGAAGGTTCTCTCCAGAAAGGAAAGGCTAGTGTGCAAGGTCCTGTGTGTACAGCCGTCCGCTTGTCCTGGGGGATACGTGCCAAGACCCCCAGTGGGTAACTGAAACCGCGGATATACGATGTTTTTCCTATAATACAAACCTGTGATAAAGTTTAAGCGACTTGTGCACTTTGGGGCCATTAAGTCAAACAAGGACACAAGCACCGTGACACCCGACAGTCGCTCTCTGATGACCAACACGGCGACTACGGGCGGGAGCGTGCCCTGCGCGATGCTGGACAAACGGATGATTCACACCCCAAACGATGATTGCATCACGCTACTCAGGGCGGCCCACAGTTGAAAACTTATCAATTGTTTATTTCTGGAACTTTCCATGGAATGTATTCGGACCGGAGTTGACTGCACGTCAATGAAATCACGGAAGGTAAAACCGCGGGTTGCGGGGACTCCTGTCCTTTCCAGCTCGTCAGGGGTTAGAAGTGATCTGGGTGCTAAAGGCCAGGGGCGACCCTGGGAGAGGGACAGCGAGAATAAGAGGAATGTTAGCCACGCCCCCGCTTGGCTGAATACTGACCGTTCATGGGCAACAGCACTTAGAGACAAGCCCGCGTTTCATGCCAAAGTTTTCCCACCGTCATCCAACAGGATCCCCTCCAGCCTCTGGGGTGGGAAAGCCTCACCCCAGTGCAGCGAGAGGCACCCTGCCCCAGGGCCGGGGCCAGAGGAGCAGGCACTGAGCCGAACCCTGACCTTGGCCAGGCCCCCAGCCAGAGGCCACCTCTGCTACCAGAGAAACAGCTCAACGCAGGCAGCCCAGACAGAGCAGAGAACAGCAAAGACCTGGAGGGGGCTCTGGAAGCAAAAGCGGGGCGAGTTGGCAGCCGGCCACCCACAAAGCCAGAAGCCAAAGCAGCTTCCCGGGCACCCAGAGCCACCCCAGGAGGGGCCGGTGGGCGCAGCCCAGGAACCGGGCCTGTCCCCCAGTCCATCAGGCTCCATCAAGGAAGGTGCCTGGCGTCCTGGCAGTGAGGAGGGCAGCGAGGAGGGTGGGGAAGAGCTCAGACTCGGAGCGCTACAGCTCGGGGTTCAAATCCTGCTTCTGCCACTTGCCAGGCGGTGACCGGACAAGGGACTTCATTCTGAACTCCGTTTCCTCCTCCAAAAGTAAAAAAGAGATAATGACAGCCTTCCTCCGGGAGCTGAGGCAGGAATGGCGTGGGTGCCGGGAGCACCGGCCTGGGACAAAGGGACACGGGCTGTGGAGCCTGGCCACCGCCCGGGGGCTTTGCCGAGCCCCCAGGAATGGAGGCTCGGGGTGTGGGGTGACTGTGCCTAGGGCTGCCCCGAGAGGACCTGGGACTCGGGGGACCGGGAGCTGCGCCCACCTCCCTGGGCGCTGCCATCCCTGGACTGCAGCCTAGGGAGCGCTCGCCAAGGCTGCCTGCCCGCTGACCCCTGGGCACAGGCGATGCTGCATTAGGGGCGGGTGCCATGGAAAGGGGGTGGGCCCCTCAGAGGAGGATGGTGGGTTCCCCGAGGGCACCAACAGTGACTTGGGGGGAAAGCACTCTGGGGGACAAGCTGCAGGGCAGGGGAGACCATCTGGGCCCCGGATATCACAGCTGGGTCTGAACTTGCCTGGACCTCCAGGGGTGAACTGGCTCACTTCTCAGGCAGAGAGGTGCGAGCCGGGAATCTGAGCTGAGGCACGGCTGCTCGGGAGCCCTGGGTCTCTGCCAACCCATTTCACTGACAGGGCAGTGGAGGCCCACCAGCGGAAATCATTTCAAATCCCACGCTGTCTGAGCTTCACCTTCCCTCCTCCGGTCCCATTCCTGGAGGAGCGGGTGGTTAAGAAAGAAGCTCTGGAAATGGATGACTCCCGGGCCCCATGGATTGTCCCTGCTCTGAGCCTTGGTTTTCCCTTCTGTAAAATGGGCTGGTGGGAGGTTCCAATAAGAACAGCGAGTCCTCAGACATCTCAGCTATTGTTTCATCTGAGCCCCGATCATGATGGAAATAAACGGGGGGGAGGCTGTTCCCGCATCTCTGTCCGTTCTCCCTACTCCGACTCCTCGCTTCTATACAGTTTTTTTGAAATGCCAGCCTAATGAGTACATCTAAGCCCGGATGGTGAAAGGTTCCCTGGTGTAACCACAGCAACCAGCCCCGAGCCACCACGCTACAGAACACACAGGCCTGGCCCTGCCGGGGCTCGGGTGGCCAATAACCGGGAGGCCTCCTCTTGGAACAAATACAAACAATTAGGGAGAAGGTGCTTGAGGCGTCCAGGACGGAGGAGAGGGGGCGGGAGGGAGGCGGGATGGCTCGGCCCAGCTGCTCTCAGGAGCCCTTGAAATGCCTGGTGCTGGGGAGGAGGCCAGCCAGGCAGCTTAGCTTGCAGCCTGAAGGGCCCTTTCAGGGCTAAGGGACAGGCTGAGCCGCAGTCACCCAGGGCCACGCGTCCAAAGTGGAGCACCACCCACGCGTGGGCATTTGAATTTAAAGTAAAAGGAAAGAACATTTCAAATGCAGCTCCTGTGTGCCAGCCACCGGGTGGCCAGGCGCAGGTCTAGAATGGGGCCAAGCTGGCCCTCCCACCCCTGGCCTGTTGCTCTATGGCCTAGGAGCTAGAACCGGCTTTTAAATGGTTTTTAAGGGAAAGAAGAGAAGAGAAGGGGGAACAGAGAAAGGGGGAGAGGAGGGAAGAGAAGCAGCAACAACAACTCTATGTGATGCACAAGACCTGAAGTATTTACTCTCTGGACATTTGTAGAAAAGGTCTGGGGACCCGGGGGTAGGGCATCCCCAACACTCCCACTGAATTCTGTGGGACAGCGCTGGCTTGGAAGGCAAAGGAGCGGCCTGGGGAGGGGGGCCAATGAGCCCCCTTTTTCTTAGAGGAGAAACGCAAGCATTCATTATGCTCCACTGCATATTTAACACGGGGCCCAGGGCTTTCCATGCCCTCCCTCGTTTTATCCTCACAACAGCCCTGGTGGGCGGGTGAGGGCCCGGCTCTCTAACGTGCGGATGACGAAGGCCAGGTGTGTGCCAGGTGAGCAGGACTCTGCCAAAAAGCGAATGCCTAATCAGCCAAACCGAGCAGCACAGGTAACAGAGACCGCAGGTAACAAAACAAAAAGACAAGAAGGAAATACAGGAGAGGTAAAATGCCACCAGGGGCAGGTGAGGATGTTTCTACTCATCACAGACTTGCACAGCGTTGTCATATAGTCTTTCTACATAATAATAAAATGACTAGTATTTTAAAAATTATAGTGGGGCCTCAAAGCCCAGCCCCACGGGCTACTGACTGACCCACCCTGAGCCCCAGTTTCCTCATCTGTAAAATGGGGATGATAACAATGGGCATATGGCACCGGGCCCTTGAAATGTGGCCGCTGTGGAGGAGGCACTAGCCGCAGAGAAGCAATGGGGGATGTAAATAAGTCAGAGCGCGATTTACATGAGGGCTTTCATTTTCTAATTTCATCCTCTGTGGAAACTGTTGTTTCTGATCCTCACCCGAGGAGAGAGAGGGGGTGAGAGAAACATCAATCGGCTGCCTGCTGCTTGTGCCCCAGCTGGGAATGGAACCAGACACCTCTCCGTGCCCAGGACGCCGCCCCACCCACTGAGCCACCTGCCAGAGCTGTGGAAACTTTGCAGATGGGGCTTTTCATTCCCATCTGAGAGGTGAGGAGACCGAAGCTCTGAGAACTGAGTGGTCAGAAGCCTCATAGCAAGAGGAGAAGCCAGTTTCCATCCCTGGCTCTGTCCCCAGGTGGATCTCCATGGCACCCTCATGGGACTCATAACATGGGTGCAGCAGGAGGATGGGAGGGAGCTTTGCTCGCTTTTCCCACTGACCCTGGAAGCGGGGGGCGGGGGGCTGTTCAATCTTCAAGATCCTTTTAGACCCACATTCATTCCACAAGTGTTTATTGAGCAACTACTATGTACCAGGGCACATGGAGAGCAGCAGACGAAGGCTCCTGCCTCCTGGAGCTGACCTTCTAGTGGGAGCAAAGCTGCAGCGTGTGAGACAGCAAGACGCCTGTGACAGATGTTCGGAAGGAAATGCCCCCCTCGGGGGGGGGAGGGGAGGGTGTCAAGCCACAGGAGGTCACAGAACAAGGTGACATTTACACTGATACCCACTGATTTGGCCTCACACTCATTTGAACTTCTAACTCAGCGTAATTTCTCCAAGCTCAGCGGAGAGAGGTTTCCATGAAGGGGGAGGAGGGCTGGAGCACACGCCACCAGCGAAGGTGGCAGGTCCCTGCCCTTACAGAGCGGCCTGGGCGGGGAGCCCAGTGCCAGGTGCTCAGCTATCAGTCCTACAAGCCCTCCCCTCGGGAACCAGCTCCCACACATTCCATCGCCATGGTTACCATCGACCCCGCTGAGCCCCGCTCACCCCACCATCCCAAGCCCCCACCTGCGGGCGCAGAGTTGGGGAGACCAGGGATCTCTCTGGCAGGGCCCCTGGGAATGAGACCTCGGACCACTCTGGAGGGAAGCCAGCTGAGAAAAGCCTGCCGGACTCCACAGGCGAGAGGAAGAGGAAAACAGCAATTCCGAGGTCTGGACGCGCCCGGGCTTAAAAGTGTGAGGAGGGATCCAGAGGGAGGCAGACGAGACAGGCTGGCAGCTGCCTTCAGAACACGCTCGCACTAGCACTGCTGGGCTGAGGCGCCGCGCTGAGGACTTACATCTTTGAGTTTTGTCCTCACAGGCACCCCCAACCCCCCCATTTCACCCTCCGTATTAACCCTCCATTTACTGGGGCTCAGGAGGTCCCAAGGCCACAAGGCTGGGAAGCAGGGAGCCAGCAGGAAAATCTGAGTCTTTCTCCCCGTCTCTCCACATGGCCCACACTCCTAGATCCAGGACCTCTTTCCTGACTTGCTTTGCAATTTTTACCTAAAATGATTTAAAGCAGGACCACAATCCTGCTTCCCGACCCAGAGACTGGGTCTCCTGAGCTACTCTGGGCAGCTCCCCGAGCCTCAGTGCTCTCATCTGAGAAATGGGACTAACACCTGGAGGAAAGAAGCAGGGAACTCCCGAACTCCCATCAGGCCTGGCACAGAGCCAACATGCAAAACTGTCAGCACTGAACATTCTGCTCTCTGAGAGGTGGGGCGGGCGCGGGGGAGGCAAGGACTCTGACCCGAGGACAGTGACTGGTCTGTACGAAGCCTGACAGCAGGCCTAGGCAGCCCATGCAGGAGTGCCCAAGGCTGCAGTCCAGGATAGAGTCCTTACGAAACCAGGCTGCGGGCAGCACCCGGACGAGCCCACGAAATGCAAATGCGGGGAGTTTCTGTGAGACCACCGTAGTTCTGGTTCTGAGTCCTGTATCAGAAGGGCAAGAAGGACTCGTGGTCTGCCTTTGGTGGGTGAGAGAAAAATGTACAACTCGGGAAAACAAATCGTTGATTACACACACACACACACACACATACACACACGCATGCACGCACACGCAGGCACACGGA